GAGAATTCGCCGTGCGTCCGGAACTCAGTTGTGTACGGTCTTTTTTGCGTTTTCTTATCCTCCATCTTCGTAACTTGCGTCTCTCTGACGTAATCCGTACTTGCGTAATTTATAATTTTCTTGACACAACGTTGTGCCGCTTATCACGTCCATTTAACTACTTATTGGACCCAGAACATATTCGGAAACCCAAAAATAAGATGCCGAGTTGAGCAAGGAATAAAAATACATACCAAATTGAATTTATTTCGAAATTGAGTGCATTGACCGTGCTCTTTTTACATTTCTCGGAATTAGACGCTGTGTAATGATGCTCAATTAGAGAAAGTGTACAATATATATTTCTCAAAATATTCAGTTATATTCCTGAAAAGTTTTGTGGTCGCAAAATGTCACTTTATTTCAGACTACTGTATTCATTGGATTATATCATGGAATTGACGTATTCCATGGTGCTGCTAAATTTAAAAAATGCATCAATATCGTAAAAAATAACATTTGTAATTCTGAAAATATAATATTAAAGTAATAAATGTATGTACTATGCATGTAATTTTGTGTCTAATTAAATTATATTATACTTATAATATTTTATCGAGATGCTCTAATATGAAATTGTCACTCAGACATCGAAGAGAGAGAGAGAGAGAGAGAGAGAGAGAGAGAGAGAGAGAGAGATAAGAGAATTAATTAATTTCGGTATTCAACGTGTTAATCATTGAACGTACCAAAATGAACCTTGCTTATGCGCTGCGAATTATCTTGTAAAATGCAAGAAATCGTCCGTTGTCATCACATCGAAAATACAAGTCATCCCGTCGTCAGGTGTATCTATATTGAGAAACGTAATCTTGGTTCAATACTAAAATATGTATATGTTTGTAAAATCCTTGCGATTTAATTAATCGAGAAACATAAACGTTGCAGAGTCGTAAATTTTGTTAAACGATATAAAATAATTATATCAATGTAGGATAACGCGCATATTACTTTATTATCTCGTTGAAATAAGTCGAATAAGTAAGAAACATCGGGACTGCATATCTCTCGAGAACTGTCGCGGTCGCGCTTAAAATTATCTTTCTCACTTGTAAAATTTAATTATCTCGCATTTTTAATACCATTTCAAGATATTAAAGTTTAAATATAGATATAGAGATTTTCTGACAATCTTTGCGTATTTAATAATGCATTAGAGTTTTTAAATACAGAAATATTTTCGCGATTATACAGATCGATATTCTTATCAAAAATTGAATTTTTCTGCACAAATTAAATTTTGAAGAGATAAGAGGAGATAATTAGATTCCCTTTTTATCAAGGAAAACTTTGTAACTGCTTGAAAGTCATTTATTGAAGAATAATATTTGTTTTTGTCAGATATATTTTTAATTGACTTGGCACATTCAGATGTAGTCGATATAACGTAACATTCAATTTAATTGCTTGGGAAATGAAAACCGCATCGATACAGTTAAATAAGCAATAGATATTTTTGTCAGTTGAGAGTTATGTTCGATTTTCATGTCTATACAATTTCAACCTTTTATTATCAATATATCGTTATATTAACAATCGGGCAAAAGACATCGAAACGCCATGATCATGTTTCGTATTGGCGTTACATTCAATACTACATATGTATTACACATGTATAATATGAATAATTTGACGCTACAACGTTCAATATAATGTTACGGATGCGTTAATGATGCACGAACGCGGTAATTATATATTTACTGTTTATTGACGAGACGAGCTGGAATTATCTATAGCTCGTGTCTCTACGCTTTCCACAAGTTAGCGGAAAGTTTTAAGGGAAAATGGATTTCTGCGCGTGAACACGGAGAAATTCACTGGAGTCTCTAGAAAGTAGATACTTAAATATGCACATACTGATAAGTAGGAAAAATACGTCTTGCAAAGATTTGATTTTCCATATCAATTTTAACATGTTAAAATTATTTAGTAGTTACGAATGAAATTTAATTGAAAATCTAATTGGGTTTATAATTGAGAAAAATTAATATGATTCCTGAGTTCAGCATAAATAAAAATTAATGATACGAATTTTGTCTTTAACAGCGACTGTCTAATATAATTTTGTAATAAAAAAATTTAGAGCGTTTATGTATAAAAAATATCAATATTTTTGGAGTTCCGAAAATTCCTCCATCGAACACAGTCTGCAGTTTGTTTTATTATTTATTCTATTTTATTATGTATCAATATATACAAGTATTTAATTTTAGATACATTTCATATATTTTTTTGATTCTTTTTCTTAAAATTTGATCAAAATTAATTTTTAATTATTATATATCAAGTAATTTAATTTGTAAAGTACATTTCTCATTCTCTCTCTCTCTCTCTCTCTCTCTCTCTCTCTCTGTCTTTTGCTGCCTCTTTCCCTCTTTCTCTATTTGTTAAAAATGAATTATTATTGTCAGAATACAAAAAATATTTAGTATTGTCTTTTCAAGAAGAATGACATTGGCTACTCTCGCGACAAAATATTGATGTTTTCTCTTGAAAAATGTCGTATGCCGTCCAAAAGCCGATAATGCATCAGGCTGGTATCGCTTTTATGCGCGTCGGAAAAACTATCGTGCTGCTCTGCACGATATCGCAAATCCGGGATAGGAGAAACAGAAAATATTTTTCGATAGAGTCAATGTGAAACTACGTGCAATAAAAATACTGGTCATGATCATCGTCGTGCCTCCATGTATATGTATACGTATATAAATATGTATGAAATATATTAATAAGAGGCTAAGAGCTGCGAGATGCAGTCGAGTGAGATAAATTTTGCTTTCCACATAAATATGGGACAGATTGTAAATCTGGATTTGCGTGTTGCAAAATGTAAGTATAAAGATTACCAACAAACTTAAATGCATGTTGTAGCGACGAATGCCGCGGGGACGCGCGTTATTTATTAATATGGCGAGTCACTGGAAAAGTAATCTGCCCTCATGGTGGAGACTTGCCTTCGTGGCAAGGCAGCCGAAAACCAATAACGCTGGAAATTGACTATATCATCTGCACTCAGGACGGCGGGAAAAATGATCGGCCCGATGATATTGCGCCCACGGTACTCAATATCGTTTTTCCCACTCGCAGTTAACGTGTATCTTGATAAAGCGAAATTGAGCCATACGGAAATAAAGTTCAAGAATACAGAGTATAAAGCGCGAATGAAAAGGGTTTCTTCTTAAATATCGCCGCTGACTCGAGATAATGAAAATACTAACGAATATTAATAATATAAAATGAATCTTCTTTACGGATATGTTTTATATAGAATTAGATTTTAAGCATATTTTAAAACACGGCGACTTTTCTTCTCGAGTAATTTTAAAAATACAAAAAAGAACCGCAAAGAAGAGACTTACATTACAGCTACAGTTTATTCAGAAAATGTAATGCCCTTCTTCCATTCTTCACGTTTATCCTGAAACGAGAAAATTACATATAATGAAAACGAATGAAAGGAATGTTCTGTATACCTTTATTTTTCAATATAATCTCCACGCAGTACGAGCTTATTTTACCACAGGCATGTAAGTGGACGAAGATTATATTAAAAAAGTATGTAGACAGAGGGAATCTCTTTTAACCACGCACAATTTTCATATTTTCTACATAAAATTTCTATATAAAAATATTTCGTGAAAAATATATTTATCTTTGATGGAAAAAATGAGGAATCATAAAATAATGAGAAAAATCCTATCTCTCTTCTACTATAGATTTTTTTACGTATTTTGCGTTTTATATCGCATTTCTGCAATAAATACTCCGGAAATATTTAAAATATAATCTATCATACGGATAAATATAAATATAAATTGTAAAAATAAAGTATATACAAAGATATAAATAATATATATATTATATACAAAGATATAAGTAATAATTACTTTTATAAATTTACACGTAGATTATCTATATATCGCTTACGAGGTTATTTTGCTTATCCAATTTTGTATTTTCCCTTCACCTCTTGTTTTCTTCTGACGAGATTAGATAACTCATCTAATTACATACATTTCTTTAATTCTTAAATCTAATATATTACATACCATTTTTACATGGTTCCTCAGATTTGTATTCGTGCAAAGGCTCTCCCACTTGACTGCATCTGGCTGCATGTTGCCGCATGTTGCTTCTAGCTTGTGCACCCGACGTCGTGCTCCTTAATCATAACCGTTCATGTCGAGATGAACGTGGCGCAGCGTCGTCTTCGCCTCACCACTTTCCGCAATATTTCCCCGACGACGCAGGAAACCGTCGGTTTTCGCACTGGCAATAATCACCGAATGCGTGCTCGCTTTCTCTCTCTCTCTCTCTCTTTCTCTCTTTGCCTTCCTCCCTCCTTCTTTCTCTTCTCGCTTTACAAACCGACAAATTGACATTTCCAGTAACTTGAGCCTTTAAGACTTAGCGCGAAATATCGAGCGTAGTCATGCGAGCTGCATTCGGCGCTGGCACAATAGTGAATTCTTGGCGAAAGTTCGCGAGATGCTGCGAAGTGGGACTTGATTGTTCCGCGCGTTTTCCAATTAGTCCGTCGCTCTTCTCCTTACGCCGTGTCGCCTTTAACTCTCGACGTGAATAAGTCGTCGCAAAACTCGTTACAACAAACGTTTGCCTCGCCTTTGAAATGAGGAAGTTTACTGTAGTTGGCGCGATGTAATGCGAGGAAAGGCTGAGCACGTCCCGTTGTGCTTGAAAAAGGAAGAATTCATAGTGTCTTTTAAAGCAGACATAATCATATGCAAACGCACACAGAAATATTTCTATTGTGTAAAGAAAATTTGTTCGCATACTGTAGTTTACTAATTCATTTTCACAAATTCTTTTATAAGAGTATGCCAATGTCTCGCGATTGAAGAAAAAGATATAAAAAGTTACGTCTATCCTCAAAGAAATATATTTTAATCTGATACTTTATAATGTAACTCTAAGTGAGATTGTTTCTTTTTTTGTTGCAGTTTGGATAGAGATCAACCGTTTACCTTCCAGCTTGGTGTAGGACAAGTTATTAAAGGTTGGGATCAAGGTCTCCTGGATATGTGCGTAGGCGAGAGGAGGAGACTGACGATACCACCTGAGCTTGGATACGGCGAAAAGGGTGCTGGAAATGTTATTCCTGGTGGTACGATGACATTTTTTTCGTTATTTCTAAATTTCTCTTAATATTTAATACTTATAAATATATATTTTAATTTATTTCTGCGTGATTATCTGCGTTCAGAGATAGGGAGAGATAAATATGACAAATCAATAATAATATATTACTCATATTTTATCATTAAAAGTGAAACAATTTCAATTATTATGCGATGTTAAATAAAATAGATATTATTATATATTACGTTAAATTATACGCATCATGGAAAAGACCATAATTGCTTTAGGGTTTATTTGACATTATTTATTTTATATAAAATTTACTGAATAAAAAATTAATTTTCATAGATATTAATTTTGTACATGAGTTTATAAAAACCTGTAGTATTTTTATTATAAATATTTCGTATAAATCCAACTTTTTTTAACTTTAATTATCTCCAGATTTAAAAAATCTTAATTAAAAACATTTACTTAAATTACGTATGTCGAAGAACGGATATAACAACAAAGTTATCTGGCAAATTAATAAGTAAATTTTTTTTACATATCTTATGCAAAAATATTTTTACATATTATTATTATAATATTTATATTAAAGAGTAAACATGAAGAGAAGAAAATTAAATTTGCCATAAAAAAATGTAAAATGAGTCAATACTTTTGGATATTTTTGCAAAGAAGTAACTACATATTGCAAATACATATATTTAAAAAAAAAATTGTTTTGTATATGAGTAATTAGTAATTGATGTTTTATTAAAAATTTTTTCAATTTATCACAAATTGATAAAGTAAGTGTTCACAAATTAATAATACTGTAATTTTGCTACTCGCTCCTACGCTCGCGAGCCAGTACTTCTTGAATTGTTTCAAGCTGTTCTGCCGATCGAAACACACACCAATAGGTGTATATTCGACAATCAACCGGACTGCAACGGTGTACGTCGCGATTAAAAGGCGTCACGCTGACGTGAGCATTTTTCAAATTACACGTGGGACCATTTTTGCGCGCGCGAGAGAGGATTAGCGAGGAATCGGCGGAGAGGAAGGGACGCGATGAACAGGTCGATACAAGGGTAGTCGTTAGTAGCGGAATCGAAGTCAAAAATGCAATTGCACGGAAATCCAATAAAGCATCAACCATTAAATTGAGCATCGTTGCTCGGCTCTCGGCAACGACGGGATCAACAATGATGAACGATTTCGCCTCTCTTTCGCTTCTCGCGCGCGGATAAATCGCCTGTTACGTTTCAGCCTCTCTATTTATTTTTTAATTATTTTTTATATACATGATCTCTCAACGAGTTTATTCAAAATCGATACGCGTTATTTCAACTGGCTAAATTATGATAAAATCTCGCGAATCCGTAATTATGACGCTTTCATTGAAAGTCACTCTTTCATGATCATTTCATCATAAAAAAATTAAAACGCGTATAACAACGATTAATTAATAATTAAATATACTTACCTTTGCATAAACGTAAAGAGTGCATTTGCGTGTAAAGTGAGAAAAAAAATTGATACACATAAATATCGTATGGGCAATGTAACATGCTACGTATGTAATTCTATAATCTATAATCCTGATTCAGATTTACTATATACGCAGTAGTTGGCTATATATATATATATATATATATATATAGTCGAACGAAAGATAACTTTGCGGGAGTTTTTGAACTATTTGGCGTTACCGTTGCCATCGAAATGTCCCATCCTCGCGGAATACGATGATAAAGAAGACTAGAGGGAAACGCGAGGATTGGAATATTCCCATCATCCCTCTCCATTTCTCACGTCCAATTTCCACGACGACAGTGGCTGTTACACTGGGCGGCGCATTATTATTCGCCGTATTAATTTCACTCGTTTAAGTAGTGAATAATTAAGCGCCATATTTCATTAGGGCCAGCTTAATCGCGACGGGACCATCCATAATTAATGGCTGGACGTGCCGAGCGCGCGCGTATGCATTCTCTCTCCTGCGCCGAACACTTCGTTAGCCCCACCCCGGCCGAATTTGCTGGTCATTGTTATTTCGAATATCTATAGACACCATTATTGGCGATCGAATTTCTGTGCGCATTATTATTTATGTTTAGCCGTGTGTGAGCGTGTAAGCGTGTACGTGTGCAGACGTATGATTAATTCTAGATTGGCTCGATTCTAAATTTGGCAAAGCATTATAATCTTCTTTTGCTGCAATCAGTATTTCTAAATATTGAAGAGTTCACAGAGAAACTATATTTGTATGTGTATATTGAAACTCTTGCATTATTAATTGCAACGTACGATTTGAGTCGTTTCTATTTCGAGTTACATCCGTGGTAATATTGAAATAATTAAATACATTTTATTAGGTATAATTTTTCTAATATATTTCGAGTTACATCTGTGGTAATATTGAAATAATTAAATACATTTTATTAGGTATAATTTTTCTAATATATTGCATTGACATTAGAACAGATAGACTTAAAATGGCACCGTTGCTGAATAAAAGTGCGAATAGAAATTAAATTATTTTCAAAATAGCAAGTTATATTTACATACTTTATTTATTTTGAATAACATTGTGATATTTGTTAAATTGCAACTGTTAAAAAATATATGATGCCCAAATGAAGAAATTGAAATGATAATAAGCTTGCCAATTAAAGTACAAAAAAAATTATATATAAAAACGTGAAAATTATATATAAATACGTGTGATATAATTTATTTATACGGGAATGGAAGGAATATTTAAAAGTAGACTTGCTCTACTTTTAGAAGTAGACTGATCTATTTATAATTAATAGTAAGAAAGCAACGTAACTTTAGAGAGAAATGACAAGAAAATTGCAGAGATGGATATTTAAACATTTGTAAATTTATGTGACAGCCATTTAATTTGATTAACTTTTTTATGAATTCTTTTAAATTTTTTCCATTATTTCTTTTCTTTTCTTATCTTTATAATTTTTAATTAAACTGCATTTATATTATAGTGTTTTTTCATTATATGTTTTACAATACAGATACTTCTCGATATTTGTCACTTTTCTCTGTACATATATGTATAGTCTATACATTCTTCATGTATATCCGCCAAAACGCGTAAAAAGCTTTGTGACAGCAAATCGATGAGTTTTAAAAATGATTTATGAGTATTTGCCAAATCGAGATTAATAGTATTTGCAGAAAGTGGATAAACCTTTCGGAAATGGAAATCTTCTCGCATCTAAATTTGCATTAAACATGTATTTTGTCAATCTTAAATTATCCAAAATGTTAAAAAAATCTGCTTCTGTAGAATAATTTTAATTCTAACAAAGCGAATTAATGAGGTTTGAAAAAATATTTGAAAAAAAATCAATTTTCGAAATCTTGTGCTTTTTAAAATTTAATTTTGAATTACATTTTTATACATAAGAATATCATAATGATTATATTATATTAATATTATGAATTTAATGTTTACAATCGACAAAATGTAAATTCCCGGTTATTTAGTATTAATTATAATTACGTTCTCAGGAAAATGTTTACTGTATTTGTACTCATATTTCCCTAATTTACATACATTATGCAATCTATTAACATGAAAGGTTATTGTTGATTTCAGGTGCTACTCTTACGTTTGAAGTTGAGCTCATGAATATTAGCGATTCGCCCCCAACCGCCAATGTCTTCAAGGAAATCGATGCCGACAAAGACAATCAGTTGTCCCGCGAGGAGGTGAGAGCAATGGCAAGATCACTTGAAGTTTTTATTTGGGCCAATTGTGGTGATGGTCATAACAAAATAATGCTGCAAACACCTCATTTTATAAATTGTTTGTTTTTACAAGCATGGCCAAAAGTAATACGATATTAATGAAACTCATTTATATTTTAAATACTTCTAAATAGAATTGTATATTATTATCTGGCAACTTTGTATTCTCATACATATCGGCATTACGTGATGTAGTATATGTAGCGTATAACAAAAAAATTAGAAATACAATCTCGTAGTCATATAATACCTGCCGCGCTATGTCACGATAATTAAAAGTTACAAATTCGCGTGTGTTTTCATGTTGAAATCGTGAGAAACAATTTTTTTTTAAATATCCACAGGCACAAAAAGGAATTATAATGTTTTTCGTATCACTATAATTTACGATATTAATATCCGTAAGCCATTTAAATCTTTCACTGAATTAAAAACTTCGCATTACGAACTTTATTGACCTATAAATCTATACTCTGTGGACATTGACGCTATTTTCAATGCAGCCGGTTTTAATTAATCGGTACGTGGTCGATTTTTTGTTTGCAGGTGAGCGATTACCTGCGGAAACAGGTGATAGAAGCCGAGCAGGCGGGCGCTAATGAAAATGAAGACGTGAAGAAGATGCTGGCCGATCACGATAAGCTCGTCGAGGAGATTTTCCAGCATGAGGACAAGGACAAGAACGGCTTCATCTCCCACGACGAGTTCAGTGGGCCGAAGCATGACGAGCTCTGAAGTCTTCGTCCCTCACCGTCGCGTCTCCGAGCACCCGTCGTCGACGTCGTCGCCACCTCGGCCGTCGACGGCACCGACGCGCCCCGCGCCACCACGTGTTCACCTCTGTATAAAATCACCTCTTCGAGTCCCCTCTCGGGCATTCCCGAAGGATCCAGTGATCGATCGTCCCGAGTACACGCGTACTGCCCCGACTCGCAAGACCGGGCGAATTTACCAGCAAACTTTTCTGATACAGCGTCGCCGACACTGGCGACGGAGGGACACGATCCTCGGGAATCCCCGGCTCGTCGAGTCGTATTCGTGTTCTCGATCGCAGGAAACTTACAGGAGTAGGTGGACATTTTGATTAACAACGAAGTTCGAACATCCGTGTAAAGTGCAGAAACCCGTTTTTTCAAATATTTAAGAAAAAGAACCTTTGGAAGTTTCGAGAATTTGATGGCCCTAAGTAGCTTGGAGATTTTATATTTTCTCTATCTATATTTTATCTATATTTTTCAATCCGGATGTTCTAAAGAATACGATTCCACCCGTTCGGAATAGAAATCACGATTACACCTCGCGAGCCCTCTTATACGCACAGCATGACTCGAGAATCTGCAGAGGGAATCTCGATCGACTTCCGGCGTAATTTCGCCACTCCAAATCTTTTTTATCCTAGCACAACTTATTAGGGAGGATCTGCAATTTTTGCCGCTCAATAATAGCTTGTTTTATTTACATATTACATTACAATCTTGTTTTAAAAATCTTTATATCAGTATAATTACTTCTGCAGTTATTTAATTTCTATAGATAGTTCACGTTGAACAGAATTATATTTTTTTTACCAAATAAAATTTCCGATGAAACAAACCTTTCGTTGTTTGATCAATCGTGAAAGATATATATCCAATCGATAATCTAAAGATAGTTAGTTGTCTTCGTATAACATACATTTTATTTACAAATAAAAATTTTATATACGAAAATTTCATTTTTTTACTTTTTCGTTATTTTCAATCGTTCTAAAAGTCTGCAGAGTCGCAATGATTCATGGCGAAATTTTCGCGGATATTCCTAGGCAGGAAACATTCCGGCGCAACGACGTCATTGTACATTTCAATACGATATAACGAAAAAAAAAAGGAAATACGCGAATGTGTGCTCGAATGACTGCACCGTAGTGGCGTGAAGTGAGAGGCTGTGTATGTTTCGCGCTATATATATTATATAAAAATATAAAGAGAGAGAAAGAGAGAGATTGTGATGATAGAGCGAGATGAAGGTGTGACGAAAAGAGTGTTTTTTCTACATGATTATAAATGTTTAGCGTAACTAAAAAAAAAAACAAAAGCATCGACGTGTACGGTGCTAAAAATCACACGCATTCTGTCCTACTCTCAAAAGCTTCCACCAAACCTACCCCAGTCATAACGATCCCTTGCTCGAGAGTCGCGCGCGCGCGATAATCACGTAGGAGACAAGAAGAGGATGACGAAGAAAAAGAGGAAGAGGAAATATCCCGAGGATGCGTAGTGGAGATGAATATGGTCGCTCTTACGCGAGCATCCCCCCCTATCGTCGCATTATTACATTTTAACTGATACGTTTTTATTACTACATTATATTGTATGTTGTTAAAGTTGGATGATGGTTAATAATAAATCGTGTGTCTCGAGCACAGTTTGTTATATAACTACCTCTTTCAATTTCTGCATCCCTTGTCTGAAAGTTTACTCGCGGCAGTTATAAACGCAATAAAATATTTCACGGACGTGCAGTAAAATATTTTTTACACGCATAATTATGTTACAATTAATGTTTCGTGTATAACGCACGACATCTTTCCGACCTTTTGTTTCGATTGCTTTTGAAAGGTTTTTAGACCATATTATTAACCATTTTTATTATTATTTAAGGCGTTATTATCTAAAGTGTTTAGGAACATAAAAATAAAAAATCTATTGCATCAAAACTAATATAATGTTAGTCATTTACTTTCCGTGCAAATAAGAACTGAAGAAAGAGCAAAGTTTGAATTCTGATATTTGAAAGAATTTGAGATATGTTTTTATAAATTATTATTCTCTATTTGTAATTGTTTAATAATTATTCAGTCCTTGTTATTTTATATTTAATTATTATTTACACACTTAATATGTGTATATATACAAACACACATATATATGTATATGTATAAAACTTACCTTTTATACTATGAAAATCGAATTTTGAAAGATATCATTGAATCTTGAAATAAGTTGTCTTTCTCTGAAAAGAAGAAATACTTTTTTTCTGAAGAAGAAAAAGATTATACATATTCGTAATTATTTTTATAATTGCTTCTTTTATTTAAAGAATTCCACAGAAAGATACAATGATTGCGATTATGCGTTTTCTACGAAACGCAATAATAAAATGATGATTAAAATAATTAAGTTGCTAGGCAGATTTATGTCGTCCGGTATATATCGGTATGTTTGTTATTCGACAGGAATCGTTCTAGGATATATTTACTTCGTATGCAAAATGGCTAGTTTTTTTTCGTTGTAAATAAGATCGACGCGAGCAAAGGCATTTGATTACTCAAAGTAGTCGGTCTTAAAAAATCGATCGGTTATAAAAATTCGTCGAGGCACATGCTGTTGACATATGATTGTCAAGTCGACCCTGTCGTCCGTGATTCGAGTGAAGAATCTTCCGAGAAGTACCGAGTTACGATACGTAAAATGTAAATATATATAATATACGTAAACACCTTTCAAAGAGACGAAAGAAACAAAATCCTACGTAGTCGCGCGGCGTCTCGAGACTTTCAGAAATTCCTACACGGAACTTGGGAAAATTTTGTAAAACAGAAAAAAAAATGTTTACACAGAAGGGGGTCTACATAACAAAAAAAAAATCTCTCTATAAGGAAATTCCTATATAATAGTTCCTAATACGCAGATAATGCGAGATGTTCTTTCTCGCGTGCGCGAACGACGTGCGTAAGAGAGGCACCCCGTTCGCTCGATCATTTCGCTTAAGCCTAAATCACCGATTAATACTTGTCTAATTCGCGACAAAGCTACAGTATATATTTTTTTCCTCCTTTCCTTTTTGTGTTGCTCATACCGTCTTATCATTCCGTCTTAGCAAGTCGAACGACAGGTGCACCGCATGGAGTGCACATGGGGCGCGTCACGCGAATATCGAACTCGGCGAACGTCGCGGCGACGGCGACGTGTCGCAGAGTCCGATCGTCCGATGCCGTCCGATCTTTCGGAGCGTTCCGGTGAACAGGGGAGGACAGGGATCCTATAGTCAGAAGATCTATACGACGGAGAGATCGCAATGTTTTTTCGCCGAGCTTCCACCGGAACCGCCCCTTCACAATATCGACCTCCCGTAGCTCTTTCCTCGTCCCGTTTCGTGAGAGCGTGTCGTGGCCTTCGAGTATTATCACAGTCAGTAGCCCTTGATGTAGGCGGCGATGTGCTTCTTCTCCTCTTCCGAGAGACCGTTCTTCAGCGTTCTACGCACTGAAAGAGAAGCAGAACGTAGTGGCTTGCGCCGATAATATTCTTTACTTTCGTCGTAAGCAAATGTGACGTGAGACTCTCCAAATCAGTCACACTGACTTACATTTCTCTCACCTTTCTTTAACACAATAATCAGCTATTTTCTACAAAACTTTTCCCTACAAAAAATGTTTTGTTAATCTTTAAAAACGAAGAATATTTTTCTGCCTTTTTATCGTTCATTTTCCAAAATAAATGTAAATTTAGGCACGTTCAAAAGCATTTGAGATTATTGTATCCGATATAGGCACTTTTGCTTTCTTAAATTATCTAGTTCTAAATGCACTGAAAACTTTTTTCAATGAAATTAAAAAATTAAGAAACAATATGTAAAATCACGAATTAATTTGACGAGCTAATGCATTTGAATTTGCTTCCAATGCAATGTCTTTGATATCATTTACAGGATTCATAAATGTAATATACATATGTTCAATTGACGAAAACGCAAGAAAATAAACTCTTTAAAATTATTTCATTCTCAGTAAAAGTGAGACATTATTTCAAATAGAATATACATGAGAGATACAAATAGAAAATTTATAATACAATTGAGGCATTCCAAGGAACATGCTGTGAAAGTAAAGGAGAAATGATCGAATTATAAATCTGCAACAAAATTATATTGATGCTGTTCTATTGGACATCCATTTAATCGCCTATCAGATACTAACTTAATGTTTTCTGTGTTAATAGTTCTTTTTTATTAACTCAATGTAAAGTCGTATTAAGCTCAATGATATTTTAATTAATAAGCTGCAAGCATCTGTCAGAACTTTATACACGATCTTCGGGCTCACGCATTGAGAGACTTCTAAACTTCGATTAATTCGCCGTCAGCAATTGCAGCGATTATTGCAAGAAAAGAAGAAAATTCGTCTATATTGCTCAGCAAACTCTTCTTGACCAATAGTTGTCAATTCATACAGATTGGAAAAGAAATTGATAATTAATAATTAAAACGTATGCCTTTGCTAGTTTTATTGTTCCATGCGTCGATAGAAATGCTGGCATAATCGGGTGAGATATTAATTGCAGCATCAATTGCGCATATGTGTATATCGGAATTCTGTTACACGTGTCGCACTATTTCGATCACGTAAATAATTAACTGGGAGTTAATTTGCCGCTTGTGTGTAGATTAGTCGATGTGATGGTTTGCCGATATGTCCGATAGCAAACAAACCGTTCGCAATACAGCTACGAAAGCCGACGGTTGTTGGTGGATTTAGGAAATTACTGCAATCAGTTCGAAATTTCTAAGCGATACTGACAATGAGACAGACAATCGCGCAGCGGTAAGACGCAACGATTTACACGATTTTATTTTTATAAAAGCAGAAATTAAATATAGGTATTTATTGACAAATTTTATCAAGGTGTAAGAATAAAATTTTATATTGATTAGATATAAATTTTTGAAAATACTATTCTTCTTAAAATCACACAGAAACTCAAGTAGAAAAGTAGGAAAGCATTATTCCATTCTCTATAAAATCTAAGGTTTGAAATGATTTTTACAAATGTATTATATTGTAAAAGAAACAAATTTGGCTGTTTAACAAATTTAATGTAAAATTAATTATCTAATTGATTTATTAAATTGGTTTGTTTAATTTTATCCTCTAAAATGTTGTAAAATTAAACGATCCAAATGAAAAATGTATGAAAGAGATGACAGCAAACGAGAAAGGCCATCAATTTTAACTATTTCGCACTCGATACTCACTACAATTAATCCTGCTTATTAAAGTCAACGACAAATTAGCGCATTGTCCGATAATTACGGTTTCATTACGGTTTGCAAACATGGAATCGATAACGCGAACGACCGCAATGGACGTGCTTCGAAGTACCTACTCGGAGATAATAATACCAACGTCGAGGACCCTCGATATCGACAATACTAGTTTCTTTGATCTAGTATCGTGTAACAAAGGACTCTCGATACAAACTACCAACGTATATTTTCTTTCATCGATAATTACCCCGCTATTCCTTTGATCCTTCTCGTTATCCTCGCAACAAACGCATTTGCGCTTGCATAGAGGCAAATGGACGAAAAGGCAAAACCATATACAATCCTTTTCCTTACCGCAAGAGGTAATAATGCTTTAAATCTAAATATTTATATCCTTTTTCTGTAATTGAGAATTAGGGTAATTAAAACAAAATATTCTTACAATAATTTCAATAGTAATATTTATATAAATTAATAATTCTTCGCAGGATTGTGTAGGTATTATAAATGGAGAGAATGTCATCTGCATGTAAATTCACATCTATAATATGTTTTGAGCAGCAATCTCCCCGTAAATTTCAAAAAATATTCATAAATATGACCTTTCTTCCTTCTATCGTATTTTCGAGCTGTTAATATCCGCTATCTTAAATTTTAATTCTTTCGTAGAAACGACCATATATAAACGGATAATAATTCTTCATCTCTTTTTTTGCTGTTGTTTTTCGAATCGATAGAGTTTCGTGCCGCGTGGCGTTTCAATTTAATGTTGTTCAGTTAAATCGCTCGTGCTCTGGCGACTTTACAAACATGAAGTCCGCGGGCTGATTATTTGCTGTTACACGTGGCGCACGGATGGTACATACGTGAGCGCAAGCAACCTACGCGTCGTGCTGTTAACGCGTTGTTAATGGAATGTAAACCGATTTCGTTACGCGACCAGATCTCTCCCGGCTTTTATCTATCTTTTCCAGCTTTTGCGCGAATTTATAACGACAGCGAGCTCCCGTTGTACGAGCAAATACGATTACGGTATTATATATTATTATTATATTGTAACAGATTACCGATTGCTAGATTGCCGAGGCGATTCGTCATTGAAAAACGATATATTGCATTGAATAAGAACGAAATTGTGTAAAAATATTACAAACGTGTTTAATAATTGCATTACTTTTAAAATGTTTGCAAATGAACATTGCGCGTGTATTAAATTTTTACTGCAATAGTTCATTATCCACATATACTCGGATTTTCAGCTTCGCTAATAGCGAAATTATTGTAAGCTTAATATTTCCTGAATTAACAAATATTAACTCTTTAGCAGATACTAAATTTGACTACATAATATAAATTTAATTAAACATTAAATATTAAATGTTAAGTTTTAATCAATGTAGGGACAAATTTAAATTGAAAAAGAAAATATCATATATGCTACATTTTGATACGTGTTAAAGATAAATAACTTTTTTTTTATTAAAGAATTATTTTAAATGTAATTCTAAAAATTGTAATAATTATAGTTTTTGTCATTCGATTTTATGGCACGTCGAGCAATTGCCATAATGTATGAAATATCAGGCAACAGATTGCCGGTTTATGTTTGACGTTGGTAATCAAAATCATAGTTTATGCTCAAACGATCGCACATCGATAAATCATTCGACGCCAATCCAAGCGTGGCGCATCAATAATTTCGATACAGAACCACGGTGTCGGACGGAATCGATACCCTCGCGGCAGCAGCCATCTCTTGTAGGTCAAATACCAATTTTCTTCACGTAACGCCAAGAAGATTCAATATCTTCAAGGGCACCAAAAATGAATTTATTTATACTCGCTTTTAATAACCTCATATTAAAATCTTATATTAAGCAATCTCTTTTCAACGATCCAGTCAAGAGGCACCATCTTTCTCGTAATGATTTTATCCATCGACACATTTTCTACTAACATTCCTTAGAACCTTTTAAGAATCAATCTATAATTTACCTTCCTTTTTAGAACAAATTTTATAATAATTTTAATCACAAGTAATAATTTAGAACTAATTTACAAAATTAAAAAGATAGAAAGATAAGCATTAATTAACATATCATATACAATAAATATAATAAATTTCAGCATAAATAAAATATAAAATGGATTATAAGATTACACGTGGCCAATTTCCATAGAAGTTTCCGTTCCAATAAGACGTAATCGGAATTGCCAGGGATTATATTTATAAATATGCATGCATTCATATATGCATATACGAGTATGCGGCAAGTACATTCGTATCGAGCGTTAAATGCTAATAGATGAAAAGCGTTTATACCAGGCTGCAGGTTTACACCAGGCGTCGGAAGTTCGCATGCAAGAGGGACACTTGCGTTGCGTAAGTCTCTATTAAGTCGAGAAACTTAGACACCCCTGACTCCATTTAGAAAGTAAACTTTTTACTTACCCCTCCTCCCCTCCGAAACGAGAGCAATTTAGCCTCACTTATGCATATTATAGGAGACTAAAATTGCATGAAGTTCAAGGCGCGCGATCCTAACGTATTCGGTTATCCAAAAGCAAAGTCTCAAAGTTCCCGAATAGCTTTTGGCTTTTCGCGAGAAGTCGCAGCATATATCCCCCTAATGCCTTTCGTTCGAAACAACTATTATACGATTATCGATTTGACGGGCAAATTTAAGCGGTCAATTACTTAAAGGTAGTAATTCGTTTTTAATATATTATATATATTTTATTATAATCGCTATTTCTTTAGTTTAATTCAGGTCGCGGGATCAAAATATATTTTTGTGAAAAATTGAGATATCTACTTTATATTAACATTGAGCGTTTAATAATAAATTTTGATTTCTTATATTAATGATTACATATTGAAGAAGATGAACATAGTAACATCAATCAAAATTAAATTTTAAATATGCAGTTTGAATTAGTTCGTATAACGATTTTCATTACGTCTCTTTCATTATCGTTTGAACGATATAATTTTAAATATGATATACATATATGTGCTTTCAAATATTAAATTTGTAAATCGAGTCGAATTGGCTTAAAAAGAGTTAATTCGTTAAGTATCATCAAATAACTATCTCGCTAACTATTCGCGTGTTAATAATTAATAACTGTAATATACTACATGCCACAAAATCAATGTATTAGTAAACGACAAAACATTAGAAAACAATATGTTTCGAGTGAAAAGAGATCATGCAGACAGTTCACGTCATGCTGGATGAAGAAAAAAAGGGCCGTAAAGAAACCTGAAGAGCACCGAACCTTAAGATCGCAGAAATCACGAAAAACCCTGGCTCATCAGGGTTGATACCCCTCCGGCGTGGTGTTGTTCTCCCGGGTGCGCGATCGCTTCACTGTCGGACAGAAAGAAAAGAGACGCAAGAACGCTAGGCCACCACCCCTGTTAGCAAGCGTTGCCGCTAATCTTAACTGAAGTAAAGTTACCGGAGCGTGTGCCCCAAATTGTATCAGAATAGTCTTTGGATCTACTCCGTGGATCATTGAAGGTAAAGTAAGGCCATCACCGCAGATTCCGTGGTCTGATCAGAGAAGGATAATTGGAACGGAGCGAGATAAGGCGAAGGAAAAAAGCGGGATAGATTCTCCACTCCCCGAGAAATACCTTTGGAAAATCATTTACAGGCCGAACATGCTGTCGTAGCGATAAGTGTTATCCCTTTACAGTTTAGTTTTAGATTTATCGCAAATTTTGCGTACGCGCTGTTGGATTTATTATATTACGCTGACAGACTGTACTTTACAAAATATAGTATCTTACTAATCTACTGATCTCTAAATATTAAGGTTTCAAGGTTTCTAAATATTAAGGTTTCAAATTCCTTCAAAGTTTTAACAACAAAGAATTTTCATTAGATTAATGATTTAATTTAAAAAAAATTTTTTTAATTTTATGTAAATACTCGTCTTTACGAGTAGCTTACGCTAAAAATAATGACAATTTTCTTCATACTTTGACATGAAAAACAACTATGAACATTTTGAGAAAAATCAGCATCTGACGTTCCCTGAGGTTTACTTGTAAGAATACCGTTTTTCCTCTGGTGGAACAGAGCTACGTGCTCGACGCGCTCGAACGCTATTGTGAATCAGCTTATCATAAGCATCACGAGAGAAAAGATCGGCCAACGCACTCGGTGATCGGATTATAGCGAGATTTACGCGCTATTGGTCCAGTGAAGGATTATTTCAACTTCCTGCTGAGATCGATCGCTGGCCCGGCAAAATAGAAACAGAAAAACGCCACAATCTACCGGCACTATGTTGCGTTACGTTATCTCGACGCCAGACTGTGCTGCATTTTCCGTTACCAGATTTCCAGTCATGTTTACGCGTAAATTCTGCTCTCACTAGTGACTACAATTTCCGGCGAAATTTCTTTTGCGATTGATAAGAGTTACGTCGAAATTGCATATCGTTTGTGTTCTACAACGTTCATACTTTGTACAACGTTCTGTGAGATTTATATTAAACTTCAGAATCTTTTTTTTTTTAGATTTTTCAACGATATCATCATTTCAGTCTTCTTCGACAAAATCTTAACAAAATGACCAATAAAGTAAAGAATTTCAGTTAATTAATTTCTAATAGATAACAAATTTAACTTTTCAAGTTTTCCAACTAAACTTTATTTTTTAATAAAAATTTAATTAAACTATCAAAATATTTCAGAAATTTGATTTAAAAGTTTCATATTCTCGTATTTTTAAATCAGATCTTTTAATCCTGAATAAAAAAAATTTTTTTTAAATTTAAGATTTTAAAAAGAGGAATAAAAATTCTTTCAAAATTATTAAAAAATACGCGTACCTGAAATTTTAGCTTGTGAAACATTAATATTCATTTCATGTATACATTATACATGCATATATTCCGTCTCATTATATTCTACGTTTTATACGTCTACGATTACGCGTTATTATCATTTTTATAATTTTATGTTACATATTTTCCACATCTACTTTGAAAGCACCGTCCGAGTCATCTTATTCCAAGGATTCAAATCGCATGATACAAGACATTATTAAACTTCGATCAGTTGTAATAACAGCAGCTGAGATAGACAAATGAGCGCGGATATTAAAGTATAGAGGTAGATTGCGGTGCTAATAAAGTGCATGGAAAAAGTATAAGATAGACCGAATCAACGACACTATACGATCGCATGTTCGATCTATTAGGGCGTCGACGCCGACATCTCCAAACTTCTCGTTTATCGATCGACTCTGGGGCGGCCCCCATAGCTCTATCTGTGGACCAACCGTTATCAATAATGTATACTTCACACCGAATAATTCAAGGCTCTCGTGGCGTTGGAAGTTATTGGAAAATTCTGCGGTTAACGCCCAGTACCTTCTGTTGCCAATAAAACTTTAATGGCAAATTTTCGCGCTACTTACAAATTTTCGTTTTATTCTATTACATGTATGTAGCAAAATGTAACTTTTTCCTTCCTTTTCTCTCCGCCTCTGTCTACCGCTCTTTTTCTTTTATTTTCTCTCTAAACTACGTTATTTCATATTAAAATAATATTACCCTTACATAATGAAATATTATAAAACGAAAACTAATGGAATTAACATGGGAACAGGCATATGTGCGAAGTCATTTTTATCAGTAATATTATAAGAATATCTTGACTAATAATTTACTAAATTTACTTCTTTAAAAATCTTTAATTATCGCACCTTATTACGTAATGTACTATATTAAAAAAAAAAGACAGATGATAATCTTGCGATAAAACATCTACGTTGCGTCCACACACAGATATGCTATTATTTAGGAATCCGTTATCGATTGATAACAAATTTCCTCGACCAGAGACCGATCGATAATGATAGGAGAGGAGAATCTGGGTGCATGGTGCTGGGATCACACTTACAAGACTTACGATCGGCGTGTCTGGTCCTCTTGCGTTCGCGCGGCGTGGTCCTGGTGGCCGGTGTTTTCGTCGCGGTTTTCACCAGAGATTCCAATAGTTCGTCAACGCCATCAGCCAAGTTACCGTTGGTGCTTTCGTCCCTGAGTACCGGGCCCAGTGGAATTATACGTCCTAAAACATAATGACATTTTCTGCTGCTCCATGAACACATATATCAACAATTTCTTTTCTATAACAGCTTCATTTTTAGGATAGCAAACTGCGTATCTCTGCATTATTTATAAATAATGCATGTTACATACGTTGATACTTTATAAAAGATTAATAAGTTTGAATTCATAGTCAAATTCATTGTAGAAAAAATATTTTTCTATTTAAAAATTAATTTATTTTTATTTCTAAAAATTTATTTAGAGAAACAAGATGGTAATGTATGTCGTTCATGCGTTATTACTGATCTCAATTATTATTTTCAATATAAGCAAACAATTTCTTCAGTTTTTTAAGTTTTTTCTGTTTATTCATGCGTTCAAAAAGAGAAAATGTGTTTAAGCAGGGACAATCCCTTGCAGAAAATCGCGTATCTACAAGATTCTTCTTCTTCCACATCGTCTCACTATTTCATTTCTCACAATCACTACATTCAGTTTGCAGGGCAGAAACTTCGAAACTGTCAAATACACAGAATTTCTTCCAGAGCTTTCAAACTCGTCCCGGAAAAGCTATCGTGGAAGCAGTTCTGTACACTCTCGATACAAGAAACTGTGGAAAAAGAGACGAAGTAGAAAGAAGATGGGAGGGTGGTAATAGAATTTTCATGAACGAAACAAAAGGAGGAAGGAAGAGATCCTTAAGTCTCGCTTATTACGCGTTCTTTGACGGCCGTAGATCAATCTAGACAATCCATTTTCGTGGTTGCTCTACCATAAGGAATGTAAAACGCTTTCAAATGGCTTCCTGCTCGCTGATCCGATCTGCAGATTCCGATAATGTTACGTCCTACTTAATGCATTCGTTGCATAAGCAATTGGAATAAATTATACGACAGATTCCTAATTAAAAATAAATCAAGAAAAGACGTAACTACCTCATTTAACATTAATCATTAATAAACTCGGTCAAAGTAATGTGCAATCATAAAGTCGCATTTAATAATTAAATAACAATATAAATATCTTCTTTTTATATTTATTATTTATTTATAACTTTGATGAGACATTTCAATTTTTAAATATATCGCTCTCTTATTTAAAAAATCGTAAAAATTATATTGCCATTAATATTATTTAAAAAATTCTCTTATCTTATATCTATTCCTTTTATTGCTCAATCCTTTTTTGTAAATGTAAAGAAGTTAATTTTTTTTAAATATTTGCAACATATTTATTAAAAAAAAATTCAAGAAATTTTACACTTCTAATTTCATATTTCTCGCAATAATCAGTTGCCAAAATTATATTTAGTGAAACCAGAATGCTAGTAAAAATAATATAAAGAGAAGAAGCAGGAAAATCAACAACTGCGTTTAATGATTAATGTCACATCTAATTGAACAATTCGTTCATAGTATTGTCACATTATTCAACAAATTGTCGAAATAAATCATCCTCCGCGATCCTTGTCCTACAACTTGCGAGATTTTTCCAGCTGTTGAACTGGAGGGCCGTCATATCCAGCTGGAAATGCCAGCACGACTTAGACGGGACGTTTAGATACTTTATGTCGGGGCATACACGGGAATAAAGGGGAGAAAAGTTATGATGGCCGCCGCCACGGTAATGCACGTGGGTGGTTGGGTTTACGAGCTGGATAGGCACCAACCCCTTGTTCCTTGAGTCGGCCGAATCCTCGGTGTACCCCCTCTGCGAGAGCAGGAATAAAAATTCCCGTTTCTCCAGGAAAGTGGTGATCCGCGGTTACAACATAATATAGTCTTTATGAGATCCAGAACGTGTCAGTCGTTCCTCTGTTGGATCTTCTTCTTCAAGGTGGTTTTATCGTGGGTTTTGATTGTACGTATAATAATGAATCTTCATTATTCTGAATGAATATAGCCTCGAAGCATGCTAAATTCAGTATGGAATTATTTTATTTTGTAGTATTTATCGCGATGGAACAGAATCACAATGTTTCGAATATTCAAATAAAGGAGGTGCTTAATTGCAGAATAAATAGAACTTCTGATAATCTTAAAGTGCATACATGGTATATTCATAAATTTATATTAATTTTGTAAATCAGTTTACTCTGTAATTAATTGACCGTGGTTAATTTCTAACAAATATTAAATTTACTTTCCAACTATTATCAGCTTATTACAAATAGTTACGAAGATCTAAATTCCAGGATTTAACTTTTAGAAATGAACCTATTTAAAATATTCTTCTTAATGTAAAAAAAATGCTGACCTGCTAATTATATTTTTTTTTATTGAATATATATCTATTCATAAATAATAAATACGATAGCAAGTCGGTAGAGACTTCTTTTAAAGAAAATTGGCAAGAAGAAAGTAACGGAAGATAACAAGTTTGTGAACAATGTTACGATAAAACTTATAACATCGAGTCCAATAGAATTCTTTCGAACAAATTCAAGGAATAAATTTCTTAGAAGCCGTTATTTACGCGATACTTCTTCTCGCGCCGACTCGAATAATATCCACGTCGCTTCGAATATTCCCTCTGGAAGTTAACTACTTTTACATTCTGCCCTCTTGAGGCAAAGTTATCATCTTATGTAGCGCGCGTAAAGCGCAATAAAGAGTGAGTAAAACAAAATTCCCACTCAACTTGAAATTTTTCTCTCATGAATACCGAATTTACAAAGTAACGCCGCGTCGAAGACATCCTTATACCTTGACGCTTCTCGCGCAACCGAATGATAATGCTACTTACGACCAAGTTACATTTACGGCTTAACGGTATGGCGGATATATAACGCAATCTCGAACGTCATCGCGAATTTCGGGCGTGAAAATTCCGAGTCGCATAAAAGAGAAACTTGCCGAATATAAGTTCCCCTTTCCCCTCCCCCCTTCTCCCTCCCTCTCCCCGCGCGAAGGCAATAAAGATAACAAACGGGGACTTATGCCGCGCCGCGCCGGTAAGTTTCGCATCTCGGGCTAAACACGGGAGGTAGGACGAAAAGGAACTGCGCCGTCCGCGTACGTATAATGACGAGGACGGCGACGCATTTACTTCTCGTTTTCCGGTAATGTCGTCAAATGACCCGGCGCTATCCTTAAATCTTGCCCGCAAGAGCCGCTGCTTAAGGGTGACATTTATCTCGGCGCGCGCGTCGCCGCCGCCGAGCTGGAACATTACGGAGATGAAGAGAAATTCTTAGCACTTTGTTCTTATCCGCGGCGGAACGGCCGACGCCGTCCTTTAGAGTGCGTTATTTTCGCGCGAGTTAAAAGCCGAGGCTAAATAGAGGCTGGAAAACCGCGCGGTCGTACATTACGTCGCGATCGTTCGCGATGATAAAATCTAGTTCGACCGATCGCGAAAGCGAGAACACTTGCATACTTCTTGCTTGATTCATATACGAACGCATTAGACATGTGCATATTTTATACGAGCTGTATGCGTATAATACTCCAAGGAGTCACGCGTTTCCTTCGGACTATTGATCGCGCGCGCCATATCTTCATTGATTTTCTTCTCCATAATTTAACGATATATCAACTCTCTCTTTCGAAACATTTTTCTATGTCAAATATCTCCTTATCAATGGAGATATATGTAGTACTAAAGATCATATTAAAGAGTTATGGCAAAAAGATCTGTTTTTTCGCCCATTTTAAAAGATCCATTTTTTTGAACCTCAAATTTCAAATTTTTTTAAATAGTATTATACAATGTAACATTAATCCTAGAGAAATTTTAAGATGAGCATAGGCACGGTTCCGGAGATATGAAGGGGTGAAAGTAATGGTTTCTCATCACTTTCATGGAAATCATCACTTTCACCCCCTTGTATCTCCGGACCCGTGCCTATGCTCATCTTAAAATTTCTCCAGGATTAATGTTACATTGTATAGTACTATTTGGCATTAAAAAAATTTGAAATTGTTATGCTCATCTCGAAATTTTAGAATTAATGTTTCATCTAATAGTACTATTTGCCATTAAAAAAAGTTTGAAATTCAAGGTTCAAAAAATGGGCGAAATTTGCCATCACTCTTTATATTAAAATAAAATTAAAAAATTAACTGGACAAATTTTGGATGTACCCTATATTTTAATTAGTTAGAATTTGTTAATTTTTTTAATGGCAAAAAATGTGATAACAAAAGGATTTTATAAAAAATAAAATTTCTGCCATTTACGTATCAATTATTTGTAAAACAAATGTAATGCATATAAATGGCATGATATTTAAATCGCATTATTTATTAAAAAATATAAATCGATGAATCGTACATATCATTCATATTCAAACAAATGAAAATGATTTTGCCCGTGTATACTATTGCGTTTATTATATTATGTTATGTAATGGAACGTAATGGATTGCTAAATATTTCAGAAAAACGTGAAACATTTAAATTATGCGGCAATGTGCATTTCAAACAATTCGTTTTCAGCGTAAACTGCTTATCGCTGTTAATTGTGTAGAATAAGATATTTACTAGACATTTATTACGCAAAAGTACAAAAATTAACTAATATAAAAATATAATGCGCTAAAATAGGAAGAAGAAGAGCTCTAGGAAAAAGATCTAACAAAACTTACCGTCTTTCTTCTGTCTTCTCCATGGTAAAGTCCCGTGGATACTCTCGACGTCTGAAATGTCACTGCCAAGTAGTTGTCTGAGTTCCGCGTCCGCTCGATCCTCCTTTGTACGAAACTTGCCGACCTGTAATAAGATCAACATCAAGATTTTACAGTAAACTTGAAAAAGATGTGTCCAAAATTTCGTGAAAGTAATATAAAGTAAAAATAATTTAAATAGTTTTATCCGAATAGGAACAATACCATTTAAAAAAAAATAATTTTTTAAAATTTAGATATTATATTTATATCTATATTGCACAAAATTGCAAATAAATATATAAATGATTCAGTTAACACTCGACACTAATTAATATTGATAACACTATTAATACCAATGTAGGCTAATCTAACTTACGTTCGAGATAAGTATCTATAAAAACTTAGTCGCTGAAATTCGCTGTGATGGTGTTCAACAAAAGACACAAAACGAAAACGGCTTACCTCTGTTATCATCTTCCCTCTGGTCTTATTGCGCTCACGATGATTGGCTTTCTTCTCGAGCTGCTGTATCACTCGTTCCCTGGTGGTTCTGTACTCCAGAGCAAATTCGGACACAATCCTGCAAAACTCGTTTGGCTTTGTGTCCTGTATCCTATGCAGTGGTATACCGAGCCACAGAATGAATTTGCGGAAACGGTTTATGATACGTCGGTGAACGATGCCTAAGACGATTATCCTTTCGGCGCAATCGGCAAGGAAATCAGACATCCTGCGATATAAGAATAAAGCAATGTACTTTTAAGAAAAAAATGTTTCAGCGAGTAACTGGAATGTATCAAATAAACTTTTAATAATTCTCTAACAGAATGACTCAAGTTTGAATAAAAAAAGATAAACTAAAAATAAGTATTATTGTATGCATATGTGTGTCGTTTTATCGCTAAAAAAAATATCTTTGACTGTAGTTAATTATTCTAAAAAGGATAAAGTATTTAAAGGACACGAAATAATTAAAAATAACGCGAAAAATGAAAAAAAGTGTAGGTCTATTGGGAAAATGCAAGTGCAGTGCGAATGATTGTCGGCAGAAAGAACGAAGGGAAAGACTCGAGGGAGGAGAAAATATACGTTCGGTAATTAATGGAAGCTCCACTTGGATGGCAGCCAGTTTCACTAAAAAAAAAAAAAAAAGAACTCTATCCCGAATTTATCGAAGCCACTCGAGAGACTTCTTAAACACGAGCACTCGGAAGGATTCACAGGAAGGTAGAACGCGCACGTGAGGGAGTGCGAGAGAGAGAAAATCTCGGAAATTGGTTCGGGGGCTGAGAAACTCGGCAGGAATTATACTCACTTGACCTTCATCATCGTAGAACCATCGTGCTTCGCGATGAGCTTGAGATGGTCCCAAGACGCTTTGCACTCGCTCTCGAGTTTCGCGATGTTCGCCGCCAGCTCGTCGAAATCGATTTTCGAGGCTCTCGTTACCGCACCAATCTGAAAGCAGAACCGCGTTGGCGGTGCCGAGGAAGCTATTCCAATTGTCTTCGAGAAATATACGAGCAGTTTAATATGATTTAAAATTTATCTGAAAGAGATACAAAAGTACCTATTTCTTTCTTTGTTTTATTGTATAAGAAAATTCGGTTATTTGTAGTTCACAGTCGAAATGTTATATTCGTGTAAATTATAAAAAATATAATTACAACATTGTTTCTATTTTAATCCGATTTATATCTTCTGTGATCTCTTTTTTTTTTCTGACGCTACATTATTAATCTTTGATATTATCTATGCAAGATTATCATTGATATCAATGAAATATGAAGGAAAAATGGAATCACGATAGGATAAAAATCGAAATAAAAAATTTATGGAGGGTGACACAAGTAAATAAACTTAGCCTCAATTTCGTAAATATATAATAGTGCTGCTGTGATATCGACGACGAGACAAAGTTCTCTCTAGTTTTGATCGTACTAACTGACTCTCACCTCGGAATAGAGGTCCGTAGAATCCGGAAACTTCTCCATCACCATGTGACAAAGATGATGAAGCAGCGAGTGCTTGTGAACCGTATCCTTCACTTCAGGTACTTTGACGAGGTATTCTAGTTGAAAGCCCTTCACCTGAAAAAGGATGAAGCCTTCACGTCGCGACGTATCGCCCGGAAAAATCGCGCGCGTCTCATTTTAACGCTCGTAAATATTTAGATTTATTTACGTATCTATATTATATACCGGCATAGAAATTTCTGAAATAACTGCGTCGCTCGGAAATTGATCTGATGCAGGTCTAGCTGCCGGAAAATACATCAGAAACTTTTTTAATACAGTGGATATTCCGTCAAAAACTTTCGAAAATTCCGGCGCTACTCCGAGGATAAATAGCGGGCCGTGATTGCAGCGAAACTCCGTATTAAACCGAGATTGTTTTCGGAAAAATGTGGCAACCGGCCAAGCGGCATGAAAGGCATCCTGCCCAACCGGCAGTTAGAACTAAATTATTGATATCGTCAGATTTCGGGACTGCCACGATCTCGCCCGGTTGCGGGACAGACGGATTAAGTGGATATCATTTGGCTGGCATTCAATACCCACCTCATTTCCGTTGAGGAATATCCCGATCGAAAGGAGCGTGCTCAGAATCCCACGGAACGTTTTATTCACTCGCAAGGTCTCCATACCCTGTTTCAAATCCATCAAAGGATCCGCGATTTCCTGGAAGTCACAAAACGCCCCACATTTATTTATTCGCCTCGCGAATCCCTTTGTTGACAATTCTATTTTTTATGAACGTATAAAATATGGAGCTGTAATATGATATACATTTTGTTATTTTCGATCGCGGAAGTATTCAATAAGGTCTTAAATTGTAAAAAAAAATTATAAACAGAAATTATAAGTAAATATTTCAAATAGACAAATATCAAGCAAATCGATTTCAAATTTTGCGATAGATAATTTTGCGTTAGTAAACATTTGAATATCATGGCTATTAACAATAAGAGAATTATTAAGTATGTAAACAATATTCTCACAAAAATCAAGCACTGATTAAACACGTCTTTGGACTTTTGATTCAGATACTTAAAACATTTATCGACAGAATTTGGCTTCTATTATCAAAGTTCGAAAAAATTCAATTTTGAAAAATCAGAAATAAAAAATCAAGTTTTTTTCAGTTTTAATAAAAATATAATAATAAATTTATAAACATAACACATTAAAATTGTATACATATTTTATTCTTTATATGTATAAAATTTTCATAAATGGTATGTTAAAACTTTCATAAAGTATGTTAAAACTTTCGAGCGATAGCGTATATTTTTTCAACACATATATTTCATGGAAAAAATTTCAAAGTTCGTGTATTAAATATATATTATTCAAAAGCGAAATAGCGAAATTTTGACTACAATTTTAAAATCAACATTTTTATTAAGTGTAAAATAGAAATTTTTTATTAACTATGTAATAATTTTACTACAGATGTCTTTGTTAATTTTATCAGCCTCAACTTTGCACGCATTTCTGAATTAATCGATTTGATTGAGTAATGACGTATTTCAACATTCCGAACATACAAGTAGATAATAAAAGATTCGCATTCTCGACGCAAACTATTTCGCGCTTCAGCTACAGCCGAGAGATAGCAAGGAAGTCAGGGTGCTGAGTGACCTCTCTTAGTTCGGGTACAATATCGGAATTTGCCATTTTGTCGTCGAAGAAATGTGTCAAGAACGCTCTTCTACCTGCTGACTTCCTCTCCTACATTACTAACATTCCTTCTCGTCGTCTTGATACTCGCGATAAAATCCACGCGTGAAGTCAAAAGGAAGGAAAAAAGTAGAAGTATAAGAAGCCAATTTCATTATATACCATTAAAATCCAATAAATATAACATCTACTTTAAATCGAAATCGTATGTACGATACAATCATGCATTTGCATTATTATTCAAAAGTATATTTTTCTTTAAAATTTCAAATTTAATTTGAAAAGAAAATTTAAAAAAAGAATTTTTATATTCTATTCTTAAAAAAGTTGAGGTTTTGTATGTGTTATTTTTATATAAATATCTTTATCGCGCGCGCGCGCGGGCGCGCGCGGCGAGTGTGTGTGAGTGTGTGTGTGTGTGTGTTTGTGTGTGTATCAGACTGTTAATTAAAATACAATCAAATTAAGAATTTTTTGAATCCTAGAACTTAATTAAATAATCTTCTAACAAACAAATTCAATATTTCGTTAAAAAACGCTTGGTTATGAAATTATCAACTGGAACAGTAAATTCTCCTATCGCAAATAGTTTTATATAAAAAATTGACAAGTAAAAATCAGAAGATAGAAAAGTTTACTGTTAAAATTGTGTATTACTAAAAAAAAAAAACTACAAAATTCATTAATATTCAGACTTACTTTTTCGGAGTTTTCGAAGTCTAGCTTGAACGCCCACAGCTTCAGCCTTGCTGGCAGTTCCGAGATGGAGGTCAAAGTCAGGAGGAACTGTTCGGCTGATCCTAAAGGAAGGTCAGGATTGGCGGCCTGCGCCTCTTGTATCCTGGACTTTTCTTCTTTAGTAGGTAGCATCGTCAGAAGTTTCTGTTGGGAGGATTTCGGGACAAGAAGGAAAACGAACAAAGAAGAGAAGTCAATTCAAAATTAGAGAAATTAGAATAAACTCGGAAACTAGAATATAAGTGCATTTCAACTAAACTTCAGGATTGATTGTCAACAGAAATTTGAAAAATTTCAAGGCCTTCTGTTAGCCGATAAATTAAAATGGGATAGACGTGATTCGTGCGGACAAAAATTGTGTAAAAATGCAGAAAAATCGATTAAAAATATTTTTTAAATACATAATGGAAATAGAAAAAATAATGATAATTAAACTTACTGTAAGAAATTGATAAATAATTTCTATTTTATTAAAAAAAAATATAATAATATACAAACTGTCAAAACACCTTCTATTTTTTTTTTCAAAATTTGCAATGCATGTAAAAATACAAGAAACTTTTTTTTATCTTTTGAACAGCTTTTTAAAAGCTATTGAAAAATAGAAATTCGAAAATAAAAAGATAAATAAAAATAGCCATATTCTCACCTCAATACCCTCTCTATTCATGATAGTAGCATCCATTTTTAAAATCGCGGTCTTGATGGATCTTGGCGGCGGCAGTTTCGTCATGCCAATGTTGATAGCGTTCGATCTTTTATGATTTAGCACGATAATCTCCTTGTTCTTGTTCATCTCCTGCTGCTTCTGTTTACCAACAACAAATGAAAAATTTTCGATTGTATTTCGGTTTGCAATTACGTTTGCGCGCGAGATGCAACGCTCGATATTCTCTTCGTTATTACTCCGTAGCACTTGAAGTTATTGCGGTACGATTAGTATCTTTTACCATGCAACAACAAATACTCCACTATAAAAGCACACCAAAAACTACAAAACATTGGAACACGTTACACAGATCCGCGTAAACGTAGTGGCAGGATGTATTGAAAACGCCACTAGAACGGGATAAACGTAGCCATTCTTTTAATTGCAAGTGGAGATATATACGTATACAGACGCTGTTCTCCATCGAAATTATCTGCCTATAGATGACGGCTTGCCAAATAAATTCCAATAAACGCAATATCTATTATTGCAATACGATCGTAAAACTATCAATCACAAATCATTCATTTTATTATAAAAAAGTATATGCGCAATGCCAGTACAAATAAATTACGCAAATGTTTACGTGAAATAAATAAAAATAAAAATTAAGAAAATGTATTATAATACCAATGTATTTAACTAACAATAGTATTTTAATGCCAATGTATTAAAATAGTTTGAAAATAATACTACGAATAAAAATAATACGTTTTATAAATTTATAATTTTATAGTTTTGTAGAACATAAACTTACGTTGGACGAGATAGAGACGTTAGAAACTTAGAACTTGTTATTTTGATGTTAATTGCACATTTATTAAATTCTTTAAATTATAAATTAGTTTAACAGAAATCACATAAGAATTAGAAGATATTAAATGGAAAACTTTTACATTGAGTTTTCAAAAATGTACAATATAAAATTTGCAAATCGTTTTAAGTCATTGACAAAATGCTTTAAATGTCCCATTAAAAATCGACAATAAAACAAAAGTGAAAAAATTGTAATTATTAATACAATTATACGTATTGTCAGTAGTATTAAAAGCAAAACATTTACTAATAATCAACCTTAATAAATTGACCGGCCATTACAATAAAAAAATAACATAAAATAACAAAAGAGATTTAGGACAGTGATTTACAAAATAAAGTATATATATGTAGCAATCTTTTTGAAGAAAAAAATATCTTCTGCAAAGTCCTTATTAATTAGTGAATCAGAATGAGATCGATTATACCGGCACGCGTGAGAGACGCACTCGGAACGCATGCATATTAACGGTCGACAAACCGACAGTTAAGGAATTAAGACTCACCTCCTGTAAAATTCCAGCATGCCATTTCGTTCATTTTTTTTTTCGTGCGAGCACCAACAACATTGCCAAGAATACAAGAAAAATATTAGTCGTATTGCAGTAAACCACCATCACCACCCTTACTATACTATCCGACCGCCGTCATAATCGTTATTCATGATCGTTATCATAACCGTTATCCTCACGCGATACGGTTAACCACGTTATTAAATTAGCCGACGTTATTGTACAGTATTTACTCGATAATTACATACGTGTGTGGTCGAGCACAAAACTAACAAAGTGAAAGTTAATACGAATCAAAGTTTAATTAAGTTTCTTATTTCACGTCTTTCTTTATAAAAATGTAAAGGGTTTCTATTTATATATATATATATATATATATATATATATATATATATATTTATATTCTTTCTGCACAAAAACAATATCAAAATTTTGCTTATCGTAACTCGTGTACAAAGCATAATACGATATATTCTTATTAAGATAAGATTATATATATATATTATATATATATATTTCTTAAATATGTAATATGATAGAAGAAATATAATCTTATTTTGATAAGAATATATCGTATTATGCTTTGTACACGAGTTACGATAAGCAAAATTTTGATATTGTTTTTGTGCAGAAAGAATATAAATGGAAAAATCAAAATTTTTATGCCATGAACATTATAGCGTAAAAAACAATAGAAAAATCTTTGAGATCAAACATAACAAGTTCAACCAAATTTTAATGCATTATAAATTCTTAATTTAATATTTGAAGACATTTATCTGCCTTATTACAAACAATTGATTTCGTCTCTTCTCGATAAATATAACAAATTAAATTCCATATTATAATGTTATAATGTTACATCATCCTATTTTTTTAAATTAACCTAAATCTTTCTGTACAAGGACTATTATGTTATTTTTGTGACACACTTCATGCACCAATTTTCCTGACTTTTTATTAGCCCGACATTCACGACTCTAATTTACGGCATTATAGAACAAATGCAAGTTTACACCCTCTTGTTTCATCGCCAAAAAATTCGCAATTTTCTTGACACGCGGCCACTCTTTCAGTTGTTTTTTATAAGCGCAGGTCGACTGTAATTATCGGTGTGCTAAGCGGGTTCAAAGGGCGAGAAAGAGCCGGTGTCGGAAACAACCGGAACGGAGAAAATAATGCGGCAGCTTTCAGTAACGCTCGAAAAATACGCGCAACCCAGTCGCAGTCTCTCTACCGTGCAGTACCTCTTGCCGCGATTTAGTTGCGCACAGACGCGAAATACACAGGTGAGAGGAAACCAATATATCCGCACCGTGTAATTACTGCGGTAATTAACGACGATATTCTCTATTGCTGCTTCGGCACAATGCCAGTGAGCAATTTTTTTTGCAGTTTTCTAGCGTGCGCGTGTGTATGTATGTGTAAAATCGTTTTGTAAATTACATTTACGGAAACTATATTTTATCTACAGAAGAATTAACACAGTACGCATTACCATAGATATACATTTCCTTTTTGAACGTAAAATTATATATATATATGTATAACTGTGTTAATTCTTCTGTATATATATATATATACATATATAATCATATACTGTAGTTTAAAAAAAATCCAATGTATAATTTTCAAAAAAACTTAAATTGAAAATCATAAACTAAAAATATAACAAGATTAAATTGTTTATTTTAAAAATTATATAAATTTAATCATAAAAAATAAATAAACAAATTTTACGAAAATCGATATATGTATTAATTTAAATTATTATTATAGTTTATACTTATTCATTTATAGCATTCTAAAAGCTGTTAACATTTGTAATATAATGACCAATAGAATACATAAAAAGATTAATATAGAAAGATATAATATCAAAAAATAATTCATCAATACTCAAGTTCCACCTGTCCATAAATGAAGAAATTATTATTAAACTATTTTACAAAACGACTATAATCCAGAACATTGTTAAACAAATTGATGATTTGATCAGTTCAATCACATATTTGTAAAAATCGATTAACATAGAATAGAAAATGAATTATATTTTATCTCTAATAATGTAAATATAAATTAATATTTAACGTTAATTAATATTAATAAAAGTAATATGAAATTTTATTTCTAAAAGTAATTGCAATTAGAAAGTTGAACGTAATTTTTTTACATCACTGAAGCCAATAAAAAAATAAAAATAAATTAAATTCTTTTTTCTTTCATCACAATCTATATCAATTTATAATTTCGCATGTTAATCATAAATAAACGAATTTCTTTTTATTTTGAGCATTGCTATTAAAATTATAAATACGTCAAGCGTGTCAAGCGATAGAAAGATATTATCCTCTTTAAACGCGTTGCAACCCTAACTTGTTGGATCGACGGCGGAATTTATGTACACGAGATAACGGGTATATACTTTGTGCATATTGGAATTTTAGTATGAAAAAATGTAGTATAAAAATTCTTATGACAATCTTGCATAAATCAAAATTGGATTCGCTTTTCGTATAAAATTAACGAATCATAAAATGGCTATTATCACAAGCAAATCAATATATGAATTGCTAAGCAAAAGTGGAAACTATAACTATAAATCGTAATTTTCTAATGCATTATTAAATATATCGTTATCAAATTTTTTTCGAGAATTTCTTCAAACTAGTTTAACAAGCCAAAAGTGCCATTATACATATATATAAAAAATCGATAAGTAAAGCTTACTTTAAAAAAATAACATAGTAAAAATAAATAACGTAGTGAAATATGGCTCCTATTTCTATCTCGTTAAAAATTTCGGAGAATATCATACGAAACTACAATGTACACTGCAAAAGGCAGCTGCAAAATGGATCTCGTTTAAACGAGCATCCCTCTTTATATAGTTCCCTTCAGCCGTCCGCTCGAAACGGTGAAATTCTCAGTTCGTTGCACTCGTATAACGAAAACGACACGATCTGTGTAAAAGAAGTCGTACGTGGAGACCACTCACCTTGGTGATGAGATCCTTAGCGCGACTCTCGAAAAGGTGCTCGAGCTTCTGTGTATCGACGGCCACGGGTGTCAATTCGTCCCAGATCATCTTGTGTTTGTCGAGCCGTGCGAGAATGTTGGGATCGTCTCGCACTTCCTTCCAAAACAGCTTCACTGTCTTCTTGCTCTTCTTCGCGAGCAACGACGGCGGGCTCTTTGGCGTGTTGCTGGTCTCGTTAGCCAGCGGCAGCGGCCTCGACATCTTCAAGCTGATACCGAACGGCAGCGGTGGACCCTGAGGAAGGGGCGGCGGCAATCTCGCGCCCAGCGGCGGCGGCGGAGGTGCCAAGGCGTCTCCATTCGGAGGTGCCATCGGCGGTGGCGGTGGTGGCACTCCATTCGTCACGTTAGCAGATCCCAGCACGTCGGTCTCGTCCTCGGAATTCAGATCGGTGAAATCCAAGTCGCAAAGCGCCAATGGTCTCTTCAGTTTCTTCACCAGTTCCTCCCAGTGCAGCTCGTTCTCCGATTTCTTCGTTTCCTGCAGCTTGGGCAAATTATCGCCGGTTGGCGACTTCAGTACGTCCGCCTTTGACTTCGACTTCGCTAGACCCTCCTTTGCCTTCGAGATCAAGCCGCTCATATCTCCTATCCTAAAGGCATGCATAAAAATGGCTAAAATTATGTATTTTATAGCATATGTAGCATGTTAGTAGTAAAATAAAATAAATGTTAGTAGTAAATATATTTTGTAGTGTAAGATAGAAAGCGAGAGATACAAGCTGTATTTAGACAAGCCACATTTAGGCAAGCCATATTTATAGACAAGCTATTAAAATCGTATAACATTGGCCATACGTGTGGTTATCGATTAAATTGTCATATTATTTTCCAGCAAATTTCTGAATTACTTTAACTATGTTAATTAATTGTAATATTACACAAGAATTAAAGCCAATATAATTATTATCGTGGCTTTAAATTTTAATGTTAAACACGGAAATAATCTCTATATTTAATTCTGACAATATAAACTTTTATACATTTACCACAACGGAAATGGAAATTACTGGAATTAAATGTCTGTTCAGTGTGTGTATTGTTAGCCAATATACGATTTCATCTTTTTAAAAGCATTTCGATTCAATTTTGTCTCTCTGATAATTTAATTTATTAATATCATGTTATGATTTCAAGTGATGAAATCGTTTTATAGTAACATTATTTATCAACTGTCCAGTTTAAGATACTTTTAAAGATTGTCTTATTATAAAAGATAAGATCCTTATCGATTTGTTGAAAGTTTCGTATCCGACGAAGAAATATAACTTCTATATAAAACATTGTACTCTTGCAATATCCCGTGTAAAATTAACTTTGTGAAATTTCCGGCTAAGGTACAAAGTTCATACGACTTTTCCAGCCTTCTAGTATCATTGTTGGTGTCAATATCGCGCGCTATTCTATTATGCTATTTTCTACTTCTGTCTGTCATAAAAGTTAAATCGACTCTTTGCGTTCTAACATATTATATTTTATGTTTAGTAAGAAAAGTTTTCCAGTGAAATAATTGAGTGCAAATTAAATCGTTAATAAATAATTTAATATTTGCTGACAATTAATTACGTACTTAATTATTTTGTCGTGCGTATTATATCAACGATGATGATTTACATATTAATAAAGAAAACTTTCGTTTATATTTATACTTGTTTAATTTCTTACTAATCTCTTTCTTATTCTGGAATCAATAATTTTCCTAGAATTTGATTAATTTTAAGACTTTTTTTACTACTCTTATCGGTTAATAAAGAATTTGTATTCAAAATTTTCGTAAATACGAGAGATGTAGAGGGATAAATCAATCGAGCATTTCCAAATAAAGGCTGCTTTCCCAAAATTACCTGGAAACTTTCTCCTCCACAGGGCTGCTAGGTATAAGATTCTGCGCTGCCAACTTCTGAGTGAGATCCTTGACAGTTCCTTCCCTCTTAAGCTGTAGAACCACTCGACGATCCTCGTCTTCGTCGGTGTGATTACTCTCGTTGTACTCGACACCTTCGTTGGGACTTTTGCCGTACCATGGCTTCTTCTCCTCCGAGTCGAGCTTGTTCGCGGCATTCATCAAGGGCGTCAAGTCTTTTCTGCTGTTCGTTCTGGACAACTTGTTCGAAGGAGAATCAGCGTTCCTCTCATAAGAGGTACCGTTCGTGTATCGGAGACTGTTTGTTGCGAACTGACCTTTAATAGCAGAAGATTAAAAGTATTTATTGTAACGATATAGAATATCTTCCTGATATGCGTTTCAAAAGAAATCCAAACCTTTATATAAAAAAAATCAAATAATCTATTTTATTAAATCCACCCATTTCGAGAAAAAAGCTTAGTTTAAGAAGCAAATATATCTTATATAAAATTACAGGCACACATTTATTTTCTAATATACATACATATTTTTAACCTATTCATTTATAAACAAATATATAAAATGTAGAATTAAATGATAATAAGAGTTTTCTTTTGTAAAAATATCAATCGTGTTATTAGCGATAAAGATTTAATTGTAAATAAAATAAATTATTTGTTTAAAAATGATTAAAAAAACATTCATTCATAGAGCATCTGAAATGTACTTACTTTCCTGATCATCAGTATGACCAAGCGAAGCTCTCATGTTTGCAGTAGCCTCTTGTTGCTCTCTAATGAAGCTCCTCTGTCTCTCCGCACGTTCTCTTCGTCGTCTTAGCGCTGGTGTAACACCAACATCCACTGAAACATATAAAATAATGTTTTCTCCATTAAAGCAAATCATTTATATACTCCTTAACGCATTTTATATACAAATTTATATAAGCAAATTTTCTCTAAATATAAGTCAAATTTTTTTTCTCTTTCATTTTTTCTATCTATCGTGTATAAAAGACGTAAAAAAATGTTTTCTTAATAATATAAAAACACGTAATTGACTTAAATCCAATACTAACGTCAACAGATAATTTATAACAATGTAATCGTAAGGTATTCATTGTAAAATATTTACCGCGTTATATTCTACACGTGATATTTTCAAAGATATTTTTGATTGAACATTTATGCTAGTTGTATATCGCGTCTTTCATAAAATATCCACGAAAACTAAAAATGTACATTTCGGTAAGCAATTTGTTAACAAGGATTTTACTATAAAAGTTGAAATTGCTAACGAATCAATTTAGGACACGTGCTCGTTTAAATTTTCAAGTAAAAAATCTCAGGTATTAAGAAAAACAAGAATTACCTTTATTCTCTTTGTAACTGCCGTTGAGCTGAACTTCACCCAGATGACCATGGGAACTTTGAGAACTACTTGATTCGTCGTCATCATCTGGTAGGTTCGAGTTCAAGGTGTTGTTCAACGTGCTCACACCCAGAGAATGATTTAGCCGTGGACTCAGCCGTGCATTCAGAGACATTGATAGGGGCGAGTTACCCGTTGAATGCCTCCGAGACTTTCGCCTTTCGTGAGAATCCACTAGAGACTTCCGATTTCGCAAAGTTTTTCTACGCAATCGAGCAGAAGTATCGGATCAGAAATATTTTAACTAAATTGTCACAAAGTAGAACAAAATGTTTGCCCGCAATATATACATGAGATCTTTCATCTTTCTTCTACACGGATCACACATTTTTACAGTATTCCGAAAAAATTATAGTCAGTTAATTTGGATATACAGATCAGAAGAGAAGGAATCTTATATACTAAATCATACTACGCTCAAAACGTCAAACTGTGATCTGCCACCTACCTTATATTGTCGTCCAATTGACGTATAGGCGACCCCCTGTCGCCGTCCTCGTGATGCAGCACCGCTTCGTAAATCTGAAACTGTCTGAGCAGGTCGAGGTCTGTGCCCTGTTTCGACATGTACCTCTGGATAACGCCCTCCATACCCTGCTCCTCCAGGCAGTCCACCTGATCGTAGTATGTGTCTTGATCGGGGATGCCGTTTAAGCACTTGTTGATCAAAGTTGTTGCGTATATAAGCAACTCCGTGTCGGCGGCATCATAATCCTTGAGGAGTTTCATCACGTTAATCCACGGTACCACGCCCCTGGCCTGATCGACCGCTCTTACAGCCCTGACCAATAGCAGACTGTTTGTTTCCACGTATTCCACAAACACGAGCAGTAGTTTCAGCGCCGTCTTCACCACCAGCCGAAAACGACTAGCAATTAACGTATACAACCATTCCACCGTCTGCCCATGTTCCATCACCCCGTTCATGCCGTCGACGTACAGCATCACCTGGCCGAGTGCTGCATGAATGCAAACGAGTTGCGAGATTAAACACGGAGGGCGAAATTGTTCCAGACAATCGCGTATAAAGAGCCTTTAGCCGTTGTCCGTAAATGTACCTCTCTCTCCCTCTCTATTTCTCTCTCGTGGATTTTATGGTCGCTCAAACAACATAAAGGCTCAAAAGACGCTCGAGACATCGAGAAAAAGAGAAGGAGTTGAGCATTTTTTTTTTTAATGCAGTTTAAACATGCACTTCAAGAGGTTGAAATTTTTATGCAAACAGATAACTGCTTCTCTTTACGATGTCACGAAACAAGATCTTCTTGCATTACTATCTCCAATTGCATTAAATATTTTTCGCGTTAATTGACGTTCCTCTTGCCCGCAGGTTTTTTTTTTAAATCTCTCCGTTGATACTGTATGGGGCCATTAATCTTGCCTCTTAATTCGCACTGTGGCATCCCGCTATTTTTACCGGAATACAAAAATATAAACGGAAACGTCGGAACGACGACCTCCGCCGATGCAGATACCCAGCAGCGGGAAATAAAAGTGCAACCGATGCGATACCCATCAATCTCGGCTCGATCCGAAACGATGTTACCTATATTTTTTACACCATGCCGCTTCGTTGTTTACGAAACTGATTTCCGGCTCATCCCACGGGCCGGGCGGGCACGACTGAAATTTAACGGATAAATTCCACCGATCGCCGTATAGATTTACTCAGATTTCAAATAATATCACGATCACAAAAATGTGCCTGCGCTCGCGCGTTATCGCTTAAAACACGCGTATATTCCGACGAAAGCTCCAGCCGCTCTAAATAAATTACGGCGCGCTTGGCGTGTAAAATGTGCGAAAAATATAGAAGGAAGCTGTTGTGCGAGCATTCATGCACCGCAGGTAGAAACCGCCTCAACCGAGATTAAGAAACAATGAGAAAAAAAAATGTTGGAGCCTCTCTTTCTTACTCTTTGTTGATTAATCGTTACACGTGGACTGCGCTTGAAAATATAATGCGTACGTAAAGTCCAGATCGCTTGCGCGACGCGCAAATCAAATAATTGATGTTACATTAAATCGTAAGCCAATTAGTGAGCGTTTGTCAAAACAAATATATAAGTTATTATCATGACAAACTATCCCGAATTCAATTCCGCTAAATTTCGGCCTTGTTTGCGAGAGTGCTAACAATGTTTGATTTTCGCCAGAGTCACGCTACACATAAAATGTCAGGAATAATATTGATAGAAAATTAGCAATTTTTTTTACTCTAGCGTGTTTCACTCGCGTATGCGTTATAATCAATATTTAACATATGCAAATTTGGAAGCTGCGTATAGTGCAATTAAATAAACGAGGCATTTACCTCGATGAAATTGAGACTGTTTACGTACCCACATATATATGTACATATATTGATTCTCTAACAGAATATCATCAAAATTCAGGTATTCGCGCGATCGTGTGCTTCGTATCAGCGACGCACGCCGGTAATGGCAATGATCGTGAAGCAATTTAAGCACGTTCCACTGATAAACGTTATCTAGCCGTTATCATTACGTAGGCCGTAAGTTATGATGCGGAATCTAATTAGAAGCCTAGATATATAAATTGCCCCGCGCGTAATCAGATATTATTGTGTTGTAACAGGGCACTGTAATATTTAAATGGACTGCAAAATGCAACATACGCGCATGATATCATTTCTGTAATGCATTAACAAATTGTATATCCATTAACGACAAGACTATGATTATCTATAATAAAAATAAAGAATTGTAAACTGCAATCAAATTAATCAGCTTCTGTAAAACTAACACTGTGGCGTAAAAAAAAATTGTATAAGAATTAAATTATAATAACTTGCTTGATTAATCATTTAATCATTTATATTTTAAAATGTACTTTTCGAAATTGCATTTACGATACTAAATTCTTTGTTTTGCGTATACTTTTTCATATTATACAGGTTATTTCTATTCGCTTCAGCTCTCCTCTGATACGGAGATAAACGCGAGAGAGATGAATGCATTATAAGATTACAACATGAAATTAGCGTGCTCACTCGCGTATAAGCTGGCGGTTTACAAAGCGTTCTATACTTGAACACGGTCCCAAGATGCCGTACTCGAAAGGCACGATCAAAGAGCGCCATTCATAATTCGCGACGCATCGCGGTTTGACGAGTAGCGCGCTGCGAGCCACCGTGGCTCCCACGTGTTGACTGCTTTCGTAAACGCGCGACGCGCTTAACACTCGGTGTCACCTTCCCTCACGCTGTACTTCTAGACGGTAATATCATCGTCGTCGCGTCCTTCTTGGAAAGGCAAAGACGAGGACGTTGATGCCTCGCTCGTTAAACGTTAGCCGCATTAACGCCGGTATTATCTTATCGTTACTTGCGGCAAAGCCGGAGCGTCGTATATAGAGAGCGTCCGTAGAGAGCTCGGTGTCTACCACGAAATCACGGTGCGCCATGTACCCCGAGCGAGGCCGCATTCTCTTAACTCAATTTGCGGGTCCGCTTACGATACGACTTTCCCGTCGTCTAATTGGATGATACCGACTTGCTGTTATTGCGGAAGTTACATGTAGAATAATCATCTCCCGGTTATTGTTATTGAATCTTATTAGCGGTACGCCACAAACAATAGCTATTTACAAGTTATAAAAATTAATTGAGAATTTTTTTTATAGAGATCGTATAATTAATAAACAAAGTCTTAATCTTCAAAATATGTTATATCGATAAAATCACTTCATTATTGTACATATGATTGAGAATATATTATATTTTAATTAATTATTAAAAGATAACGATTGTTATCATTTAATTCATTGAGAATTATTAGAATAAACAACAAATAAGAACTGGTAATGACTAAAAGTTTTTAATTAGAAACATCAGAGGAAATTTAATGTAAATTATCTCTGTCAATACAGAGTTGAATACGTATATTCTTACGATTTCTTTTATCTAGAATAATATATATCACATTTTTTTACAAAACCATTTGTACATTTAATGTACAAAAGTATTCAAATCTGAAAATAAAAATAATTTTTATAAGTGAAGCACTATTCTTGAAAATATCATTTCGCTCTTACGTTTGTAGAAAAATCTCTCTCGTTTTAAGAAAATGAAAGTTTTATCGATAATAGTAAAGGAATGGTTTAAGTGAGAAAAGATCTAGACTTTATTGAGCTGGAGATGGGCATTAGGGGCGCAGTTACCCTTCAATTTTATGATAAATGAATAAAGTACTCACCTCGTAAAATGTAATTTTGGTAATTCTGGTCGGCTTCGCTGCTGACTTTGATCAGGCAGGCGAGTCCGTCATTTTGCACAAACTCGTGTACCAGATCCTTGTCCTCCTGGAAAATTGAAATTCGCGATAAGTCAATTCGATTACAAGTTAACGAGGTGACAACATTAATCTGCGTTGATGTTCAAAATAGGAACAGAGTTTGCAGGAGTGTTTCCCTAAAGACCTGGATATATATATCGCAGCTTCTCAATGCTAGACACGCTCTTTAACTACATTAGAACGCTTTTAGCGTATAAAACTTGAAAAAAGATGTCGCATTATGTGTTAAAAATTGTGTCACGCGTGTAATTACTTTACGTCAGAATATATGTAAAATCGATCGGAAAAAGTAACTAACAGTTCACTCAGAGAAATGTTTCGCTGTTCTAACTAGAATTCTAAATATTACACTTAAACTACATCTCTGTTTTTTATCTGCTAAAAAATTGTCTGTCATACATAAAATTTATAGCAGCAATATTCTAAGAATATATACAAGAAAATATAGATCTCATAACCAAATATGATTGGAGTCTGAATTGGAGTCTGAATTGATTAAACGTCATAGAGGAACTTTCTTGCTAAATTTGACAAATAGTTCAGATATAATTTCTGTCTCTATTATCTGTATAAATTAAGTACAAAACATATGTGGTATCGCAGTGCTTACTAACTCACTTATCCGTTTATCTAATTTTTCGTACCTAAATAATTCTCGCTATAATTGCAAGATTACTTTTTTCAGTGTTCGCTTTCAGCTATTACAATTACATATTGAAAATTTCCTCGTATAATAGAAAGTTTCATTAAATATTACAATAAATTCAGCGATGTGAGAAACGATTTTTATATCAATTGTTCTTGAAAAATTTCAATTCACGGTTCATAGTCTACCTTCATGTTTCTACATATTTTTCTTGATGCGCGCGTAAGCTTTCCAACAAGTTGGAAGAAACTGCAGCGGAGAAAACATAGAAGAACTAATATAGCCGCTGATATCCGATCCTGACAGCGACGTCACGGCGGCGTGATTTACCTCTACATTACCACCTAAGCCCAACCCGCTCTACCGTGCAGCCCGGGTTAAATGGAATTAGTTATGCCGCTTCGGGCGCAAAGTCGCGGGCATAATGGAAAATCTACGAAGTTTGATTAAACCCCCTCGTTTCCAAGGCGCCGCCGCGACGCCGGCGCCGCCGTGGCCGTTCGCGATCTAGTCGGACTTCTCTGGGGTTCGCGTACCTATACCTATCCTTCGGTATTCTCCCGTGTTTCCTCTCCACCGCCTCTCCCCATCCCGCCAGCCGTGAGACGGTTGGAAGTTTACACGGGACTTAGGCGCGACATAGACTCGATTAGCTCGACGGATTAAGAAGCGAAATTGAACTCGTACCGATGCGTTTCCTCCAATTTCTGTGCCGCGAGAGAAACTTGAAACCGGCCGAAAAGAGAAGGGCAAAGAGAGGAGGCGAAACCGAGGTGGGGAGAGGGGGGCGGAGGAGTCGCATTCGATATCCGGTGTCTCGTGGAAGCAATTATGAAATGTACGGTTACACAATGTCCGGCGACCAGATTAGATACCGGGCGGACGTGCAATTGATTTGCGCGACGGTAAATTCGATTAGCTGTACGGATTAACAGCGAAGGATGTGCAAGAATATGAGGGATACATAGTCGTGATGAAGGTTGAAACCCGCAGCGGCGATAATCGGGAGACGGGGAGGGAGGGAGAGGAAGAGGTGGGATCGTTAAATGCGGGCAAGATTTAATTAACTCTCCGTCCTCTATCACTGCAAGGACGAAATTAAAATTCAGTATTTCCAATAATCTCAATCTTTCGAATTATAAATGTCAGAGGAAAACGCACAAATAAGAATGAACAGAAAAAGAGAGAGAAAAAAGAGAAAGTGTGTGTTGTTTATCTCGTAAATAAATTTAATATTGAAAAGATAATGAATTTAAACACATTTCGGCAAAAAAAAGAGATCAATACGTTTCAATTTACACGCTAGTTTTTGTGTCGGAAAGCCATAATCTTTCTCGACGGGAATAATGATGAAAGAAAATTATTTGAGAAAGTGGAGCACTGTTACAGAATTAAAAAGAAAGAAGACAGCGAAAATAATGATTTAATAGTGAGATTTATACAGATACAGCATATTTGTACGTTTGTTTGACCAAAAATGTTAAATTTTTATAACAGAAATTCAATAATTCTGTTCACCAAATAGAATATTGAAAAAGTCTAACAATAAGTTTTCAGATATTTTAATATGACAGTTCTCTTACTAATTTACATTTCTTTTTAAGGAAACGTCATGTTCCTAATTTAAATGGTTACGAATTATGCGAATGCAATACTAGCTAGACATGTGCTCAAAATAAAGTAAAAATAATCATATTTCACATAATCATATTTCAGCAAAAATAATCATATTTCTTATACACAGTGTTATACACATTACAGATTTTAATTTAATATAGGTACATATGAACTTCTTATTACTCGCGGAAAACTTACGAAAACAAATATTATGATAGTTGATGATACGATAAGTTTAAATCGTCAAATATTTAATTAAATTCGTCATTTTTGATCGTGTTTCTTGGGGAGAGAATGAAAAAAATTCTGTGTCTTCTATAAAGAGTGCAGGAGAAGATGCAAACGCTCGAATGCAAATATTTACTCGTCGGGCAAGTAACTTCGCGCAAAAATATCCGCTCAACTTCGTCGCATTGCATACTCCGCAACTCTGCTCTCCTCAACCACCCGGTCCCACTATACAGTCCGCTACATACATTCTTTCCGGCCTTCTCGCGCGACCCCGCTCGTTCTATCTCATCGCGAATTGTAAACCCACCTGAAAAATCTGCTTGAGGGAGAAGAGAGCCCGTCGCAGCTCGCGGCCCTCGCTGTTCAGCAATTTTTCTGCAACAGACAAGCAACACGCAACCATTTATTATAATAATACCGCATGCGCGCCGCCGTCGTCGTGGGCGCGCTCGCGCGCGCATTGTTGCGCGAAACCGGGGTCCGAGGGGGACTCCCCCCCTTTTTGCAAAGGACCCCATTTTCAGATCACGGTACTTAAAGCGGCCGTAATGAAGAGGCCCGCGTTTACCATAGCCTCGACCATCGCGCGGCAATTCCATGCGACCGCGCGCGCACGCGCGCGCACCGCTAATTCGATATAAATTGCCGTCAGATTATTGAATCCGGCCCTCGGGCGAGACCGGGAACCTTCATCGTCCGAGATTAATTTTAGTATCACCAAACGAAAACAACAGGGTTAATGAAGTGTGTGGTGTCAATGCCGGCCAAGTAAGTGGAGAAATTTATCAAGATGGACTAATGAAGAAGTGGCTAAGTGGATAAGTAATTGTTGCGATTAATGTAACTTCAATAAGAATTAATCTTTTTCCGCAAAAGTTTTCAAATATTTGTGTTTCATTCAAACGTCAAATGCTATATCAATATGAAATGTCAAATAAAGGATGTTCTAGAAAATACGCTCTAGAAAAAGTTTCCTTATTCTGTAAATAATTATTTTCAAAATTATGTTATTTCGCTATTCAGTCGGACTTCCAAATTATTGTATCCTGTCCATCGTCATTTTTGATGAATTTATTCTGATAACTATAAATATTTTATCACATAATTATTAATCTGCACGCTTTCCTTGGACAGCGCTTTCACGACGTTTTCTCGGCAACCCGTGCAATCAATAATGAACAAGGCGAATGCGCGCATATTCAATATGCCGCCGCGCCGCATTGAACATATATTCTCCGCGTTCTCAGGAGGATTCATGATCCCATTGAGAAACTCACCATTTGACTCCGCTCTCCCTCGGATTTATTTATCGGGTAAACAACCGAGCAAGCACCGGTGCGCAATTAAACAGAGGCTCGTAATTAAGTCCCATCAATTTTGCACGTTGAATTCCCGGTCGAAATCTCCATTCCGTCTCCGCGTCCGTTTTTTCTCTCGCCGTCCTGCACGCGCGATCCTCTTCCAATCATGACCCGCCGATTCACCGTATTACTAATAATTGAATTCCATTTCATCGGTGGTGCGGCAGGGCAAATTCAATTTGCCGGCCATACCGGAATTTTCTGATTCTACTGCGGAAGTTCGCGGATAGTTCGTCAGGACGGCGCGAAAAAAGGAATGAGTCTAGTGGAATGTGTTATCGTGCAAAAGCGCGGAAACGCCAATATACCGTGAATAAATGCAGTGGAAATTTTACAGGAAAAAAACAAGGCGAGAAAAGTTGGACACGTTGGTATTATATGCGTAAGGCAGTTTCTGTCTAATCGCTCTTTGATAAGCGCGATTTGTCATTGTTCTCTCTTTCCTCCTCTCACCTAATTTTTCATCTTCTTATTATATTTTCATACAGCTTAGTAGGTTATTGTTAGTCGAAAATAAATATAGTTATCTAATAGTATAATATGTAAAATAAAATATTGATCATTCTTTACTCTCAATTCCAGTTTTTTTTACTATTAATTTTAGATCATTTTTCACCATCGATCCTATATATGTTTAGATCAATGTGATATTTCGGCAACAAAACTTAATTTTCTGTTTAGAAGAATTATTAAATGTGGGACATGTTTAATAATGGCGTCGCTTAAATATAAAATTACCTTTCGTTCATCGTGGCCGCATCTCGTTTGCAATTTTTTACGTAACCACACCTTTTCGCCCGGCCAAGTCACGGTTCGCGGCGTGGCAAACCCAATTCGCGATTTCTTTCGCGGAAAAGAAGGCCCGGTGCGACCGCATAATCCACGGCTATCACGCGATCTCTAAATGCATAATGCATGCAGGGGAGAGATGGTCCGAGGAGAGGAGTGACGGGAAAAACGAGCGAGAAGGAGAAAGACGGGAGATATGCAAGCAAAGGTAATTAGGAGTTCGCTGCAGGGTACGCGAAGGAGTCGGGGAGAAGGATGACGGCGAGGAAGAGAGAACGAACGACGCGTCTTCTAAGAATAGCGGTCCCAAGGCCCTGGGGCCCTTGGTCCCTCCGTAATCAGTGACCATATAAGCAAAGGTCCCCCGTCTCCCTCTTCGACCCTTTTTCTCCGTCTCTCTGTCTCCGCGTGGTATCTTCTTTTCGCTGCTAAGCAACATCGCCGGCTACGCCGTAACGCGCTATTGTCGCCCCCATGTATCCTCTTTCATTTCATTTTCATCACTCCGATCAATGTTAGGTTTTAGCGTCAAATGCTTATTATTTTATGCTACTGTAGACAATTTACTAACTTGCTTCCGGATTGAAGAGCTCCAGTTGGGATTTGACAGAAGAGAAATTAATGTTTAGAGAAGCTAAGGTTTCATTTAATTTTTCACAGCAAATGCTAGGAAAAATTAAAAGAATCTTTATTATTGTAATAGATCTTTTAATAAATTTATTTTAGTAAAAATTATAAAATAAAAATAAAAAATTCAAAGAAATAAATATTTTTATTTTCAGACACGTTAGAGATCAATTTTAAAAAAATTTTAGAATACGCGAAAATTCTATGACGATTTACTGAAATATCTAATCCATTTCGTGGACAACCGAACACTATTGCCAGATTGTTCGGCGTGAGCGAAATCCGAATCCATGTGTCGCGTGATACGTGAAAACGTGCTCTCGTGGCACGCCTCGCGTGCCATGTAATGCGTCCGGTTAACCGACCGGTCGCGGAATATTTGTATGATCTGTTCGCGAGCAAAATTGAATAGCGAAATTATTCATCGTAGTATTTCTCGTTGCCGCATGATGAGTAACACTTTGTGCGCACTGATGCGAGGATGAAAGGCGATTAATAAGTGAGCGGTGCGACGCGGTAATAGTAACGCTTTCAACAAGAACTTCATAAAAGCAATACGTAACGATTGTTATTTTAATATTTACCGGATATATATTTACATAAGCAATGAATTGATCTTGCATTCATGCATCTGTCAAATCTTATCGTTCGAAGAGATTACGTTGTTAACCGTATAATCATATGTTATTAATGGTTACTGTATTAATAATGTGATAATAATAATATTTTATCGCGTCTTATTTAGATCTGGTAATTGTGTTTCGTCGTCTTTTTGTCATTGATTATGCAAGACATTTATTTATTCTAAGAGAACATCTATTTGTATTAAATATATCTGCTAGGAAATAGTACCTATGCAAGAAAAAAGTACAGATAAAAACATTTTGGTAGAAAATAGTACCTATGCAAGAAAAAAGTACAGATAAAAATATTTTGGTCTCGCAGACGTTACAAACGCATTTTTCGTTCATTTTTTTTTCTACCTAGAACCTCCATTCCGTAATAGCTTGTCTTATTTCCCTTACTTTCCAAGATATTTTTGTCATTTGAAATAGCTCGTATTCAAGCTTAAATAAAATACGCGGGATACTCTTGCAAGATAGGGCCGTCTTTACTACTTGCTTTTCGAAGGCAGCAATGTTAGGTTACACAGGAAGAAGAGAAGAAAAGAAGAAGGATCAAAATGAAAAAGGACAGACGACTTTCACGAGGGACAGAGGTACACGAAGAACCGTTAAAATATGTAAAACGGCACGGTCCACTTTGGCTTCCGCTCCTCCCTCTGCCCTTTTGAAACTTCTTTTTTTTTTCCTTACTTATTCTGTACCTTCGATTATCTCCTCCACCGCCTTCGCAGAGTTCAATGAACCAGGACGCAGAATCCGCAGGTGTACCTGACACACATGGTCGCAAATTTCTCTGTAGAACATTTTAACATCCGCGAAACATTTTAGCAAGATTTCTATTTATTATCAAATTTAACATGTATATAAAATACATTGATATTACTAAATTTTGTCCTAACAGAAAACTTAAAGAAAAATACAATTTAAAGAGAGTGAAAAGTCAAAAAATTGATTTTTCAAAAAAAATATAATAAATACTAACATTTCTACATCTAATTCCAAAATTTTAGATTAAAATTTCAAAAATTATAGCTGATAATACCGAGCGACACATAAAGATAAAATGAGATATGCGTCCTAATTTTGTTTTACTGTCTAAACGCTTTTACTTTCTAAATGTGTTTATACGTTCTGACTAATAACAATTGTTATTTTTTATTTTTATATTTAATTTTATATTTAATTGTTATTTTTTATTTACTAATATACATATTCAAAAAATATATCCAAAAAAATATGAAAATGACGTCCAGTTGAATACTCTATATAATTTCTGCGAATATTGTTACATTTAAAGAGAGAGAGAGAGAGAGAGAGAGAGAGAGAAAGAGAAGTATGATAACACAACGATAAAAAATCTTATAATTGATTCAGTATATAAATAAGTAGAATGTTATTAGTATTAACAATGTTTTATAACTGATTCAATTATACAAATAAGTAGAATGTTAATAATTATAGCAATGTCTACTGATAGGAAAGAGCGTTAACAGCTAAACCGATCCCGTAAGGAATAATTTACATGACGAAAAGGCGCAAGGAATATCTTTGCTTATTTTCAAGAAATTGATGTTAGCAAGTCAAATAAGCTCATCTGAACATCTTGTAGAAACATTTCTCACTTTAGCGGAAATAATATAACAATGTTAAGAACAGAAACGAATACGCAATACAGATAAGACTTTTCCGACTCTCTAAACAAATTTAATTATACGTCGCACATAACATACATAAATTAAATTAAATTAAATACCTTTACAATCTTTACATACATTATTATAGTTCTGAGATACAAAACATTCTCATAATAAAATTAATTAAAAAATAAATCTTATTTGAATAATTTAAATGATAATAAACTTTAAAAAATTGATATAAATTTTACGAGCTTTCAATAGTTTCAATATCCTTTACGTTCGTTAAACTTTTAATGTGTTATCTTTAAAGTTTAATAATCTGCAGAATGGCTACAAAGAGATAAATAAGCAAATTTTGTGAAAAAACAAAAAAAAATTGCGAGTTTGTAAATAAAGTTATCAAAACCCGTTTTGGAAGTATAAATAGAACCCACTCTGACATTATTTCTCTACCAGAATAGAAATAATACAGAATCCCTTACAGAATCGTTTATGTTGTTTCCACAAAATTGATAAAACAACAAATCATCGTTCGTTTATTAAGAAAAGATTTGCTTGGGCATACATTTGACGTAAAAAAAAGCGCGTAAAATCCGAACGCAATAATTCTGAAAATCTCGCATCGCACGATTCAATTTTCTCGTAATATTTCAATTCGTTCCACTACGACTACGTCAAGAAAAACGTTCAAGGTAATCACCGAGAAAATGCACTTACACTCGAGAAGAAAAGTCGAAGGCATCGATTGACTCATCGCGTTATTATAGAAATTTTACTTTTTAGTAATGCTACGTATTTAGTGTTCAGTATTTGCGGTACAATCATACGACTATTACAGATTTAAAAAGATTACACGAATTTTCGTTAGTCATGTTAGCCTTTTACTTCTTACAGAAAAGAGAAAAGTGTGAAAGCTATTTCAATTATGTATACTTTTAAAAATATAAAGCTATTTTAATAATATTGTACTTTCTAAATATGTATTCCGAATGTTTGCATTTTCAGAGCCCTACTATTGTAGAATAAAAAATTAAGGATTAAATATTTTTGTAAGATATTAAACAGTTTAAATATATTATATAAACATAAATATTTGAGGATTTTTAAACTGTAAACTAGAAATCATTTGGCGGTGAAAGGATCAAGCAGAAGTATGTGTATTTGTTGTAATCCCAGTAACGATTTTTGTAACGCTACGGATAAAAAGAATGTAGAACGAAGGGAGTTTTTATTCGACATTGCGTGATTAAGTACCGTCTGTCATAGTCGGTGATGGATGGTCGCTGAGCCACGATAAAGGATTAGCTTGATTTTCGCAGGTACAGGGTTCCGCACTCAACGGCATAGTCATTACTTTGCTAATTATCAACAGGCAACGGAGCTCATTGTTTGCGACATTGTATAATTATGTCGTGGCGTATTTTTAAAATGATAGTATTTTACTTACGAAGACGCGTTGTAAATTTAATTATGTATTCGTTATTCATTGTTTCCATAGCCGTTCGCACAATTTAGATCACAAAAAGTTTTATATCATTAAAGAATTGCTGGTTGGTTTTTAAAAATAAAGATATTAAATCACTGTTATAAAATACTAAAAATATATCATAAGAAATGCAATATAGAAATTTAATTCTTAAAAAAATGATTTTCTATAGAAGTATAGGAACTGTTCAATTAAATAAACTACTTTTAAATAATTCTATAACATTTTATAGTTAATTTTTAAACTTTTAATTGCATAAACGCTTGTTCTATATGCTACATTTAAGTACAATTAAGTAAATTATTAGTATTTTAAATACATCTTATTGAAATAAAAAATAAAATAATAGATATATAGAACATTAAGTTTAATTCTTGAATTATTCATTATACTCTTAATCTTCATAATAATTTTAAAATATATCAATCTCAGATTTACCGAGAAAAAATTCATGTTTGAAAAGTGAGATAATTTTTAGTCACGCTACATATTTTTGCATAAGTTGCATGGACAATTTCTATAAATATAAATATAAATATAAATATAAATATCTATGTTGCTACAAACATACTACATATTATGATTAACTATATATGTGTTTATCTACCAGACGTCATCGATTGAACGCAATGTCAGAGTCACAATCAGTACAAGTTATTCATATTAATGATACACGGTCCCTGTATATTTGGATCTCTGGGCGCTGTGATGATTAAATGTGCGTGACTATTCACAATTATTGATTGGTCGCATTGTCAATGTTACAGTTATGTGGCTATTGCTAGAGTGAACCGAAACAAGTGACCTCGTAACTAGAGAATGTTAACGCTTTAACTTGAAATCTATTTTATCAAATTGTTCTGTATACGTATAACTAAAAATAATTGAAAAGTAACAAATTTAAACTAATAATAAGATTTTCAGAAGACAATTTCGTTAATTTTTAATATATAATTATTAATACTGCAATATTTTAGTTTTAATTATATTCAGTCTCATCCTGTATATATTCATCCGGCTTCATCTAATTATCATTATCAAAACTCAGCTGCTTCGCAGCATCAGCGTTACAGTTAGCAGAAGGTCGCCGTTGTCGGTGAACCGAAACAAGTGACCGAGTAACTAGAACGAGACTCGACCCGACGCTGCCAGTTAAGGGTCGAGGAATCAGCGCGCGCGGTCGGCACGGATGATCCATCCAAGTGGATCGTGGGAGCCACGTCGCGAGATTTAAATCAGGAATCCACACGATGGTGGTACTCACCTATGATGGTGTGAACCCTCACGGACAGCTGGGTCCTGAGAATGATCGCGTTCTTCCGGCTGCAACAAAAAGAATAAACAATGCCGACCGATTAGTATGCGCGTCGAAATGCTGATTGCCGCGCGGCTTACATATTAATATGTAATTAAAGATACGGAGGCGATGGAGATGGGAAAGGCCCATTGCCCCACTGAAACGCGCTATTATTCATCCCGTCGCGGATGGATGCTAATTAGTTACAGCCGCGAATTAATCGCGTTCGGTAATTACTTAATTAGGGCTCGGCGCGTCCTTAATCCGCGTGCGCGCACACACAGAGTGTGCGAAGCCTAACCAATATGTTCCTACGGTATGCCGCGTGTTCTCAAATTTAGATTAATAAATTTGCAATTATAATTGCGGTCTTTGTTCTGACATAACAACACGATAACCTGGATAACGCAGTTATGATCATTTGTTTCTTGAATCAACTAAGTGAGTAATTGGTGGCCAATAACGTTATATCCGGTCATAAAAACCAACGTCAATTTCTCATCGTCGAAACGCTCAAAATAAAAATAATCTACATTAGGACATTATTTCTTTTGGAAAGTTTATACAGAAAACGCGAATTATATAATAACCCTTAAATATTATTCATTGCATAGCAGCGCAAAAATGGACTTAAATTGATATAGGTACACACATCAGCGTGCAATGTATTTGAAAGAAAGTTGCGAGACATATTATAATTATAAACTTTTGTATGGCACACGCAGTATCGACTATGCATAAATTTCGCCCTAATTGCCATACAACTAGACAAGCTAATTGGCTTTCGGATAGGAAACTTCTGGAGTGGGTTATTCCATGGGCGTCCCAGGAGTTCCCCACGGAATAGTCAAGTAGCGAACTCATCATATGACAACTGTAATGGAGTTCCCGCGCGAGCGTACCAATTCGCAAGGGGAGAAACGTTCATCGATTTTGGTGTAAATGCAGCCTCACAACAACGTGCTCCGATACATAAATTGGGTTAGAGTGGCGCAGCTCGACTTCCCCGTGCATATCACCTCACCTTGAACGGCGCGCGAACTTTAAGGCCCTGCGAACCTTCCCACGCCACGTCGCTGAGAAACCGCGACGACCGTATAGACAATGGCTTTCAGAAAAAGAAAGGGGAGAGGGGGGGAGGGAGAAAAAAGAGGCGACGAAGAGTCGTCGGCATAGCGGCGTTGGTGGCGGCGATGGTGCGCAGAGGTAAAAAAAAAAAAGTCGGGTGTACGCTCGTTAATAATGTTTCCGCTCGTTAAATGAGGGAGTCAGAATGCGATTACGCGCCCTGAATTTCCCACGAATAATGGCGGCCGTAGCAGTATGTTAGGCGACCCCTCTCGAATGCCAGCAAAGGGCATGAATGTAGAGTGCAATAGGACAAAGATTTAAAATGCAGTATACAAGGGATATTAAGTGTTTTTAAAGAATCAAAATTAAAACAGAAAATTAAATCCTTCAAGAAAAAAAAAGATATCTTTTAGTAAAACATATTTAATCATAATTTCGCGCGTTCATGTTGAAATATGATAAATAAAATAGCAGAATATGTAAGTATAAAATTATAAGATATTGCATATTACAAGTTAATACGAAAATAAGTAAAACGAATGAACAAATATAAAAGATAGAGGCTGATTAAAAAATTAATTTAATGTAGCCAATTTATTTAATAGATTCACTTAATGTTTAATAGCAAATGCGATATAATTAAAATAATGGAATCCTTTAATATCCAATTAGAAGTTAATGTATATTTTAATAAGATGTATATAAAATTGTTGTGCTGAATTAATATAGAAAAGTACATGTGAGAACCGAGCTAACTCAAAATAAAAAGATTTATGACGGTATTCCGTTATTAGTCCTCTACGGATTTAAATTACAGAAGCAGATAATAGCCATACATGAGGGTTCATCAAGAACATAATAGTTCTATATTCTTTAATAAAATGCAGTATATATAAAAACTAAAATATTTTATTACTTATTGTTAAAATCATCAAAAATATAAATTGTAATTTTTTTTCCCCTTTGAAATTGCAAAATGCTCGAGAACAACTTCTGCTCGATGCACCACACTGAATGATATATCACCAGGCAGCAAAACAAGCAGCCGCCGCAACGCGACGTTGCTTCAATGGCAACGACCGCGAAGGGTTAACAAACTCCAAAAGCAAAGGTTGCACGAATAAATTAAAAAGTTTCAGGCACGGGGCCAAGTTCAATGCCGTAATATCGGGCCGGGGTATGCGTGTCCCGTTTCCTCGTAAACACTCAGCTGCCATCTTTTGCTCCTACCGAGTCGCGATAATTCCTCCTCGCAGAAGTGCAATAGCAATTTACAACGATTATCCCACGGTAAACATACAGCGAAACGCTACGGTGTCGTAAATGCCGTCTTTTTGTCCCTTTCGATCTTGCAATTCAATTCAATTGTCATGTCGCAACGATTAAACGCTTGTAATTTAAGAAGAAATTTCAGTTTCGTCATCACCAGCGTCCCGAATCGAAATGTAATAAAAAAAACAAGATTATTTAATAAGAGATAAATAGTTTATAATATATTCGTATTTCATAAATATATTTAAAATTTTTAATATATTTTATTTTTATCATTTGCTGAAGAATTTAAAATATTCGCAAATTTCACAGACTCGATAATTTTGAATTTCATTTCATCAATTTAATTTTACTTATATACCTACTTGATGTATTCGTTACGGACGAAGAAGTGCGCCCGACCAACGATGTTTTCGCATACACGAGACGAGAGCGCACGATTTAAAGTGCCTTCTCGAAATGGACGTCGTAACTTTCTCGAGGAAACAACGAACGGTGTCATAGAGCGCGGGAGGTCGTCGAAATCTACCTGGAGGAGAGCTGGAGAAACCCTCATGCAAATACGATTTACCTTCGACGCGGCTACCGCCAGTCTGCCGGCAGCAAGTGCACCCACGGGAGAACGAAAGCGAAGCCGGGGTAACGTTCCCCCCCGGCAAATGGAATGCAAAATCCTGGACGCCTGTGGGAACTTTGTCGTCCGTGCCATTGGGCGACGAAAGTCTCCGGGGTCGAAAGGATTTCCAATCTCTCTTAATGGCGCATTAATCGTGATTCCCCCGAACAAGAGAGATAGAGAGAGAGAGAGAGAGAGAGAGAGAGAGAGAGAGAAAGAGCGAGCGCGGAGAGCGGAGAGCGGAGAGCGAAATGGCCGCTGTCTTAAATGCGATAACTCCGCCGGCCGACAGTTTTTCAATTGGCGAACGACGCACTGATAGCCGGCGAAGTTGTTTCCAATACCTGTTATCGATACTTCGCCTTTTATCCATGCGCTCTTTAATTCAGAAGTTTGTGCATCACGAAGTTACGAAGTGAAACGAGCGCGCTCGCCGAGAATTCCTGTATCTCAATCGAGTATGAAATTAAAGATGTTCGCGTTAAGAAGTTTGCGCCAACAAAAACAACGTGAGCTGACTGGTGTTAATTTTCCAGTAATGTTCGGGGGATTTAATTATAATATATTAATAGAAGACGTAAATTAATATACTATAGAAGATGTAAACATGCTTGCAAAAACATCAAATTTACACTATACAGTTTCAATGTAGATGTATAATTCTAATAAAAATCACCTAAAAGGTATATACAAAGTTTAATTTTGTTAAAATATTAAAAGAATAAAAATCTCTATGAACATATAATGTGTATATTTATAAGCAATATAATATCCATCAGAAATCCGAGAATGTTTACTGTCTATTTAAATTTTAAGAACAGAAGTCCATTGTTCCTTCTCGTAAAAATGAATATATTGATTGGATGAAGAGGGAGGGGAAGGGAGGGAAGGGGCGAACTATCGTACCAACGCGGAATTCGTCGATTGCGATGAAGATTAATGATAGAGATCCACTTGGAGATCCGCCTGAGAGGAGAACGATGTGGCCAATATTAACCCGCCGCGACCTCTTCGCTTCGTTACACCTTCGAGATGCTCGATCCTGCGGACGAGAGGATCAGGTAACCCCGTCGTCTTCTGATGACTCGCTCGGGTGATCTCGATTCCGCTCTCGGCGAGAGCGATTGCGAAACGATACTGTGCACGTGCGAGGCTACATCCTCCTCCTAGTGAATTTTCAAATACACGCTGAGTGTGCCTACCTCGCGATGTTATGTAAGACGAGGTAACAAAATAAAGTCGCGCCGAGAGTTACGAGCTGCCAAGAAAGAGACGACTTTACCGGGCGCGACTTCAAAAACAGAAACCCGCGCGTCTCCTCCAACAGCTGCGAGATGTAATCGAGAAATTGCTTCGCGAGAAGAAAGTTAAGTTTCGCGACAACTAGCCGAGTCGATTTAATGTCATTATAGGTAATTTAGCGGTAAGAGGCTTCTTGTTAATTTTTCGATAATTTATCAAGACGTTTACTATCCTTTTGGCAAAATGTCAAGGTAAGGAGACAATAAACACGGCGAAGAAAGATGACAGAAATATGAATATTGTGCCCTATTTCTGTCCATTACGATGTTCTCGCGATGTTTTACAATCTTCTGACTGTTCCGACTATCGTCACATAATTCTAATCTAAGAAAAAACATCGCTATATTTCATATGACTTCGTTTACGTATATTTAATTTATTAAATACGATTACTATGATTTTGATTAAGAATTAAATTTATACAGTTTTCGTTTCTGTTATATACTTATAATTTAGAATTGTGTACAAATGCTATATACAATACCTATATATTAAACCGTAAACACACAGTTTAAAGTACGACACAAAATCTACGCCGATATTTTCCCCTCGTTATAAAGCACCGTCCGCTGTTAACAAGCACCCAAGCAGCTAATATATTCCGGCATATCCTCCGAGGTCATGTACGAAAAGGGTGTGCGTAAAGTGCGCGCGTGTTGGTCGATTAACGGTTGTACAAATAAAGCTCGTCGGCGATTGCGTAACGATACTAGAGACGAAGCTTAAGGTCAGGTCGCTCTCCCCACGGTCGAAGTCATAAATCAC